GCGACTAATCTACACCACTATACTAAGACCTATTTGAACATACGGAGCAGAACTTTAGGGTTCCGCAAAACACACACACATAAACAAAATTCAAACCACACAATCCAAAATACTTCTTAAAATCGTCAATGCTCTTTGGTTTATTTCAAATCGCACCATACACACAGACATGAAGATACCGAAAGTAAAATCCTACATACACAACAAGTACACAACATTTCATTCTTCTACTCTCAACCATCCGAATCCACTCGCTCTATCTCTATCTTCCTCCCTGTTACCTGGTGAGCCACAAAGATGACTAAAATCTTCTGCTGAAAAGTTAAAAATATCAAGAATTGAAGAAGACGGAACAAACTACAACACATTTGCTTGATGAGCTACAATGCAGTGGCAAATTTAATGAAAAATAAACAAATAAACTATTGGGTTATCCAAAAAAACGAGAGTAAATTTCCTGTAATTAATTTCGAAAACTATTTTTGAATTTGCTGCACTTACCGTGCTTCTGTTGAAAGGACTGTACGGGAAGAAGTCCCAGAGTCTCCCTGGCTACTTCCACCAGTTGCGGGTACTGTGTCAGCACATCCGACAGCGAAGCGATAACAACGTCTGCCAAATATATAAAGGTTATATATAAATACATATATATATTCCATCAAACATGGTAACTTTCAAGTAGTCTCTTTGTTATTAATAATATATAATCCTTACCCAACACCTTTTTCTCCAAAGTTCTTGAAATTCTTCCGGATTGTGCTTCATTTTCTAAGAAGTCTGTGAACTTCTGGAGTGCTTCCTGAGCTTCAGCGCTACCTGAAGAGTAGGAAAATTAATGTTGTGGATTAATACTTTTATCTCAAACGATACCTTAAAATTATTTTGTAAATAATATATATATATATATATATATATATATATATATATATATATATATATAATATATATATATATATATATATATATATATATATATATATATATATATATGGGGAGCGGGGTAGCTCAGTGGTAGGGCACTAAGCTTCCGGTGCTCAAGGTCATATATATATATGATTTCCCGTTGGTAGAGAGAAATATTTAAAAGATTGATAGTAGACATCAAGATATACAAAAAAGTTCATGTAAACAATTGCACAATTTCCAGGAGAAAAGTTCAAAATTTAAGATTTGTGTGTTTTTTAAAGCAAGTCATGTTTTTTGTTGAATAGGAAGCAATAATTTAAAAAAGTATTTGTTTTAAGTAATTTAAAATTGCTCTATAGTAAACTAGATAAAATTCCCTTTAAATAAAACTAAATTTTGTCATTGTTAAAACTATTTAACGATGACTTTTAATACAGCTAAGTCCCGTTTAAAAAAAAAAGCCATAAATTATTTGTGATTTTTTTTTTATTACCTTTTAACATTTTATTAAAATGTAGTACAGTTGTAGAGCTATAAAACAAATTAAAAATAATGTATTATATTTTTTTAAACGAAACTTAGTCGTGTTTTGTCCGCTCAATGTCCTTAGTCCGTGGTACCGACCCCTTTTCATCGAATTATTAACATCCGCCTGAAAATTTGTAAATAACTTCATCTCATCGTAACCTACAACTATTTTATTTACGAAAACTCTTAGAATTGGGGCGTTTTCAATTTGGAAGGGGGAAAAATTTGTCTATTTGATTAGGTACTAAAAACTCGTAAATATATATTTGCTTTCTACTTGAAGGTAATTTAATCACTAACTCGAGAAAAAAGATGGCCTTTGAAAATATTGAGCCGTTTGGCGTGACCTACATCCCCAAATTTTCAAAATAACGAGGTTATATTGGACAAATGGCCCAATATTTTTGTAGGCCACATTTCTTATCGATTTTTGGATCAAATTATATTACGATCCAAGTAGAAAGCAAATGGGTATGAATGAGTTTTTGGCACCTAATTAAATAGACAAAGTTTGTCAACCTCCAGATTGAAAATACTACAATTTCAAGAGTTTTTGTAAACAAAATGGTTGTAGGCTACGATGAGATGAAACTATTTACAAAGTTTCAGGCGGATGTTAATAATTTGATAAAAAGAGGTCTGCACCACGGACTAAGGACTAAGGATATATACAGTTATAATTGATTTTTTAAATTTTCCATGGTACTTAAATTTTGAGATATTTTAGTCCAAATGTTCGAAAAAGTCATTATTATTGGGTTTATCCAAAAAGTGTTTCTGGTATTTTGTTTTAGACGACTTTTAAGTTATGTGTACAACTTACCAAAAGTTTTTCGAATGTTTTTATTAATTCGAAAGGTACCCAAAAACGTAATTTTTTATTTAATTATTGTGACTACGATAGTGGAATAGAATTAATATAATAATATAGAATTAAACACAAATACATCGCCTCGAACAGTAATATCCGCCGGAACATAAGGCGTAATGTGTGGACGATCCTTTAAAACAAGAATTTTTAAAAGAGCAATGGAAATAAATAAAACCTAACGTCACAACGAGTGTAGTGAACTAGGGTTCTCAAATTGCCGCAAGGTAGCAAGTGCAGTACATGTGTACACAAAGCACGTTTTTGCAGACTGAACCAACACAGTGTATCCACCACAGAATCACCACAAACTAAATTGTACCCATCTCACAGGATAGAAATTCAAGGATCCCACAGGTGGATCTACGGGGGGGAGGGGAGGGATAGAGGGACTTTCGGGCTGAAGACCTCTCCAAATTGGTAAAATATAACCATGTTTTATGAAAAACATTATCTGTAAAAGTATTATTGTTAGTCTAATTACATTTAATAGGACTTAAAGAATCACTTAAACAACATTTCATAAGAGTAGTCAATCTCTTTCTTTCTTCCGAATTAATTATCCTAATATAAACGTACAAAAAAAATATTTCGACTGAAGCCCTCCCTCCCAAATTAAATCTTGAATCTCTAAAAAAATATATATAAATCTAAAAGTATTATTGTTCGTCTAATTACATTAATAGGACTTAAGGAATCACTTAAACGCCATTTCATATAGATAATTAGTATCTTTCTTACGAAGTAATTATCATAATATAAACATAGAAAAAAAAATCGGCTGAAGTCTTCTCAAAATTAAATCCTGTATCCGTTAGTGCAAGGACCCATGGGTCCTGTATTAATTAAAAGAAAAAATATATTGTAAAGACTTACCCCTGGAGAGAGACTGCTTGAACATTATCTTAGCCAGCTGATATATCACTTCTTCCAGAGAATACTCGTTGTACATCAGATCGGCCATCTTCAACCTTTCGATGAGATCTTCGTAGTCGTCATCGGGTAAGGTCTGCATAGCTGGTTTAGTGTTTAAATACTTCGTTAGTATAATTATTACTTATATGTTTTTTTCGTGAAGGTATTATGAATGTAACTTACGAGGAGTGTCGAGGTAGTCAGCTTTTTTGTTGAAGTTTTCTTTGATTTGTTGCCTTATTTCGGATAATTCAGGACCCATTTGGTACTTATCCTGCAACAAACATAAAATAGTGCGTAAATTTAGAACGTTTATTTATTAATTAATTTATATATATATATATATAGTTCATTACATAATAATATTCTTTATTATCTCAGGCCGTGTGTGGTTAAGCATCTTAACAATAAATAAAATTTTTAACAGTTGGCGAAATGGGGATATAGTCTCATACATAGCCGTAGACTTTCCATTTTGATCAGTGGGGTGATGGACCAAAAAAAAAAAAAAAAAATTCAACATAATTATTGTGGAACTAACAAATATAACACTGGATATTTAAAAATAAATGCATGTATCTGTTTAGACAGTTGAAGGATTTTTTTGTTTTTATGTGAATATAGATGTACTTGGAAAATATCTGAACAAACCAATTGGATATATTACAATTTGCATACATGAGCACACGGGCGGATCTACGGGGGGGAGGGGGCTTTCGGGCTGAAGCCCCCCCCAAAATGGCAAAATATAACCATGTTTTATCGAAAAAAATTGTCTCCTAAAGTATTATTTTTGGTGTAATTACATTTAAAAGGGCTTCAGGGATCACTTAAACACCATTTCATATAGGTAGTTAGTTTCTTTCTTTTTTTCCAAACTAATTATCGTTATTTTTATGAAAAAAACAACTTTCGGGCTTAAGCCCCTCCAAAAATAAATCCTGGATCCGCTAGTGCATGAGCACATTTCTAGAACTTTTTCAGCACATTAATCGATTATCTTTTTTTTTTTGAAGCGGTTGTACTTGGTAACAAAAAAACAAGCTGTTTATCTCTCATTATATACCATAATGTCATTTATTTTTGTATTTTTATGTATTATTTCTGATAATATTTTATATTCGCTGCACATCGGACTCGCTATTTAGTTAAATTCACTTTTACACAAATACGGAGTCCGTACAAGTGAGAGGATGTTCGGTTTGTTTATGTATAGATTGAAAAATAAATGCGTTATTTGAGTTATGATATTTCTGTAATTCATTACAATAAACACAATTTTGAACCACTATCACCCTTGAAGGGTCCTGGGTACACAGTACTTTGTAAGGAAATGCAGTTTCAAAACCAATGGTTCTGCAAGGATGTCATAAAGAACTGCCAGATTTTGCCTCTTAATCAATTATTTAATTCAGAATAATTAAATATCATGTTAAAGAGACCGAATGAGGCCCAGGAAGGTCTCACTACCCCAGGATCGATTCACATAATAAACAACTATTTGCCTCAGCTGAACTCGGAACTATAGACCATCAGAATAGGAACACAGTGCCTTACTCATTGAGCTTCTCCATCAGAGGACATATTTCAGTTTTTAAATTTTGCGAAAATTATGTTTAAATAACCTCATTATAATATCATTTCTCATCATGATGCAGAATTGCTCTTCAATAACAAGATTCATCTAAATTTGAGATAAGAGTATTTTTTTTTTCATTTTTAAAATACTTTATTCATCACAAATTTAACTATTCTTAAATATATAAATTATATTGTAATTATTTGTAGAATAAACAATGAAAAGTAATATAATAATGAGGTTATGCAATCTCATGGCAACCTATATCATTTGAATAAATAAATATTAAAAATAAAACATATTTAGTGGTTCATTTGTGTTGAGTATAAGTGATTAATTTGTATATAAGGAAAAGAATATGCTCCACTACCAATATATATGCAATTCTTATAAGTCAGAAAACTCTCCATCATTAGGTAAGTGTAGGCTGATAAAATAAATTTATATTATTTTAAAAAAAATGTTAGAAATGTTTAAACTTGTACTTTATACATATATATGAATATATAGAAATATATATGTGTATAAAAAACATAAATAAGCATTGGAAGAAAGGTTTACAAATAGAATGTATATTAAACAAGATGTGCATTAAATTCGTTTATGATTTTCTCTTTCACAACAGGTTGTAGCTAAACTACCTCATGTTTTAATCATTTTAACCTAATATTAGTTGATTATTAGATGACACAGTTAACTCGAAACTAACCAAGATTGTAGTTGATAGTGCGAAATGCATAATGAAAAGGTTATGTTCCTAATGAAGATCAATTCTTTATCGATGTTATCAGAAATTCTTGATTCAATGGTGTTATTAAGTTTTCTCCCAAGAAATTCAACCATCATGCATTTATTCATATTTTTATCAAATATTTTATTTTCGTACAACCTGTAAGTTTACCAAATATTTTGATATTATTTAGGGAAAATATAAGTAGTTAACTATAGGAGGAAGGTTATAACAAAAATAGCCATTTTCTTTGTGTCTGATTCTTGTAAAAAATTATACTTATAATAAGAAACTGATAATTCACCTAATTAGATGTATATGAATGTTTTTGTTTTTTTTTCCAACTGATGAGCAAATACTTATCTTTTTGAAATAGGCACGTACTATTGCCACGGTAACTGCACGATATCGTCCTTATTTTTTATGACTTTAGAATTTTTTTTTTGTCGAATAACAATATCGGTTTTACTTTACAATTGTTGCTACACTTTGTAGTTAGTTAGTTTTAACCAAGATTCAGAAAATTGAGCTTTAACTACCAGTGATAAATCAGCTCTGTTATCACCACTTTCGGTCGTTGATAAAAAGTTAAATCGATACCGAGATGTAGAAAGGAAGGAGGTTACTAATAGGTTTTTCTACAGTTCTTTGTTGTTTAAGCTTCTGAACGTCAAGTGTTTGTTTTCCTTTAACGAAATTCAAAGTTAAATTAATTTGTGTTAGTTACTAAATTTATAAAAAATTCTTCGTCAGACCAATGAAGAATTAATTCATTCGAGGACGATATATGTTTTTACTTTTACTTACGTATATATGTAATATACAGTATTGCGATCGTGAAAATTTTCCAATCTCAGTTGTCAACGGAAATACATGTTTTGAAGTCCCCTGAGTCGAAATAACCAAGTATCGCAAAATGGTCTGTGTGTGCGTGTTAGCAGTCTATCTCATTAACGAAAAATAGTACAAAACTGATATTAAGTATTTAAGGTTTGTATATCAGCCGGATGTGACAGTAACTTTTTCGTTAAAATCGTCTAACCGGAAGTGCCACTTTATATGAACGCTGAAATACATATTTACAATTTTCTCAAAACGAAAAAATGCTACATATAACTTTTGAAAGAATTTGATAAGTTAATAAAGGAGAAAAAATAAATAAAAATGCAGGAAAACCTGCGTTGCTATAGACTGTAGTGCCTAAACGAATGTATCGATTTCAATGAAACTTCGCCAAAGTCATTTTCTCGACACCCTTTAATCTATATAACATACTTCAGCGAAAAGAAGCTGGAAAAAAAGTTTCGAGGGATGGTAAAATTAAATTCCAAATAACTCAAAAAGTATACACTTTTTTGTCGATATTATGATAAGATGTTTCAAAGGTATTTAAATTTCCTAAAAAAGGAAAGAAGTTTCATCGAAATCGAAGCACTATTAGTAGAGATATCGCGATTTTAAAATATTTTTGGTTTATTATTACTTTCACTTATATATATATGTAATATATATATATATAATAAAATATATAGTAAGGGTAAGAATTGGGATCGTGAAAATTTTTTCATTAGTAAAGATGCAATTGAATTGAGGAAATCCTGGTCATTTATGAGGTCTTCAAACTCTATCATATCCATTTTTGCAAGAGAAAGATAAACGAAAATTATTGACATAAACAATGCAGAAAAAACACCATGGAAGGTTTTTATAGTTGCCAATGGTAAACTTAAGTAAATAAGTTTTTCCTTCGAAGCTTAAGCGCCATGGTCGATCGATGAAGTTTAAACTCGATTGCGAAGCTCAGCATCGTTGGAACGACGGATGAAAATCGATCTAATCTAAATGGAATTCTTAGAATACCGAGTGTGTCCGAATTTAGACGGAAATGACCGAACGTCTTGTTAAGTCCCCGATTTAACTGAAAAGGAACCGTTGGGGATTTGTTAATGTCTTTTGATCGAGCAGTAGTAGAAGGCAGCGATAAAATTAAAGCCAATTTTTAATTAAGGTTTCGATTTTCAACTGATAAGGATCAGTTGGGATAACGTAAATTACGATCTAAATAAAGAGAGGTTATACTTTGAATGCGTGTTTGACAGTCAGCCATTCTCGGAATCTTATTTATAGCCTGATTATGAGATCTTGGCCCACTGGTCAGTGGAAGAACACTTGTGAAGAAGTACAATATTATACAATGGAGCTCAAACTCTTTCTCCACTCCCAAGAAATGTTATTGCTCTACTCTACTTAAAAACAGTACAAGTGAAAATAGATTAAGAAAAATCATAGATTATAAAACATTACAGTCCATGTTTTTCACCTATTTCCTTGGTTTGAAATTTTTCGCTCCGGATTCTCATAACCCCGTGTGTGCCCATCTCATACATACATACATACATATACGGCGCTACGAGACTGGGCCTCCTCCAAAAGCTTTCGCCAGTCGATACGATCAGCTGCAGCAGATTTCCAGTTTCGGACTCTCAGTAGAGCCCGTGCGTCTGATATCAATGAGTCCTCCCATCATACATCCCTGAAAACTTTTCTTTGGCCATTCATCTTTCCGGGTATCGCCGAATCATCCATACGTGCGACGTGCCCAGCCCATCGAAGTCGTCCTAACTTTATAAACTTCACCAAGTATATGTCCTTATGAAGGCAAGCGAGTTGGGCATTTTTCCTTCTTCTCCAAATTCCACCCTCTCTAACAGGACCAAAAATCCTTCTCAAGATTGATCTCTCAAAGATCAGAAGCCTATTTTCATCTCGCTTCTTAAAGGCCCATGCTTCTGATCCATAAGTTAAAACAGGGCGGACCAAGGTTTTGCAGATCTTGGTCCCGTTAAAGAGGAATCTGCTTCCAAAATGCTTCGAAAGGCTAAAGTACCACCGTCTCGCTGTTGCTATCCTCCTGTTGACTTCTCGGAGTTGACCTCAGGCCCGAGGTGAACAAAGCTGCATACCTCATACCTGCAAAGAACCATACAGAAATTATATGTTCCAACCACAAAAGAACCGATCCCTGGCCCATCTCCTCCGACTCTCATATACTTGGTCTTAGCTTCATTAATGTGTAGCCCAAGTTTCTTTGCTGCATCTTCTATGGCCAAGAACGACTCTCTTAATGCACGTTCCGATCTGGTGGCAATATCAAATTCGTCAGCGTGTCCAAGAAGCTGAACGGTACTGTTAAGAAGGGTGCTCACCTCAAAAATTCCTGTCAGAAATGGCTCCCATCAAAAATTTTGATAGTACAACTTGCTCTATGAAACTACATTCAGGTAACCCCTGTGTGGGAGATTGGTTATCTGTTACATAATTTAGAAGGTAGAAGTGGTTTATTAAATGTCCAATCTAATTTCATAAGCGCTAACAGATATAAAAATCCAATCTGGTGCCGGATAATCATTTTTTGTTAATGATAACTGTTAATAATATATCTGCCGCAGTGTGAGAATTTTGCGGGAGGCATTTTAGTTCTTTTTAAAAGCATCTCGCTCATCTGCTCTTCTGATAAATCTTCTACTGATTCCTGCGTTGGACCAATATTGCTGTGGGGATGTTTTGGAGAACAGCGTACATCTAGGAGCCGCTCGGCCTTAATGGAGGCTTGAATCTGTCTTGTATAAGATTTGATGTATAAATGTCCAATGTTCGATAAATTATATAATAATAATAATAATAATAATAAAAATTATATTTAAGGCGTTGCAGGTTGATAAGGATCCGCGTTGGATTACTAGTTGAACAACTAACTTCGACAGACATCTTAAGTCAACTGAAAGAAGTGGATGTATTGGTCTAATGTTATAAACATCATGTGTTTATTCACTTGGGTACACTGTCTTGCGATCAAAGAAGAGGACAGGGATGAGGCATTCGTCGAGGAGGAGAAAAGTGAAAATATTTGTGATCAGGTAAGAAATGTACTAAAGAAAAGTAGATCTCGTTCATTAAGCTCGAATGAGATAAAAACGAAATTCAAAGTTTGAATACTTCTGAAAAGTTATATTTTCAGTGTAAAAATGAATACATTTGACACAGAATAATTACCAATGGTTATTATAATAATATAAATCAATAAAAAAATGAACAACAGATAGATATCCAATTTTAGGTTATAATTTGAAAAAATCTAATCGCAGAGCCTTATGCCTCCAAAAAAGGACAGAAAAGAAGAGCACTTTATGACATCCATTCGCATACTGCCTTCTAGTGTTGCCAAAAATCGGTCTTGGTCTTGCACTTTGCAAGATCAAGACTAAGACTGCCTCACTGTTGCTTAGATCAAGACCAAGACCGTTAAAAAAAAATCGATTTTTAGAATAAAAAGTAAGGCAAAATAGTTACTAATCCTTGACAATTTTAGATTCTATTTGTAAAGAATTGGTATAAACAATATACTTTTGCTTTTAACTTTTCCAATTTTTCATTTGGGCTTACTAAGGTTTCCCCTATCAAAAAAAGTACAGTAATATCTCTATAGTACTAAGCCAATAAGAAACTACAAGACCGTTGCGAGACTCTTGCGCAAGACCACGACTGTGTTAGCAAGACCAAGACACTACTGCCTTCTAATTTGATGATGTGATTATTTTTCTTTCCTGTCCTGATGATGCATATATTAGCGAAACATTTTTTTAATCTGAACAGCATTTTGGAGACATAAAACTATTATTATAATAAAGTTCCGTTTTATTTTATCTAAAGTCTTAAGTTGAGAATAAAATAGAATATAATTCACTGTTATTTTTAGAAAATCTTTCGGAGACAATCTTAAAATTCCGTTAATGGTGTGATGCATAATATCTTGTAGCACCTTTCAAAGTCTAGTAACTTATCCCATTTTTAACTGAGGCTAGTAGAAATCGATTTTTTTCCCCTATCAAAAAAAGTACAGTAATATCTCTATAATACTAAGCCAATAGGAAACTGCAAGACCGTTGCGAGACTATTGCACAAGACCAAGACCTAGACCAAGACTGTGTTAGCAAGACCAAGACACTACTGCCTTCTAATTTGATGATGTGATTATTTTTCTTTCCTGTCCTGATGATGCATAAATTAGCGAAACATTTTTTTTAATCTGAACAGCATTTTGGAGACATAAAACTATTATTATAACAAAGTTCCGTTTTATTTTATCTAAAGTCTTAAATTGAGAATAAAATAGAATATAATTCACTGTTATTTTTAGAAAATCTTTCGGAGACAATCTTAGAATTCCGCTAATGGTGTGATGCATAATATCTTGTAGCACCTTTCAAAGTCTAGTAACTTATCCCATTTTTAACTGAGCCTAGTAGAAATCGATAGTGTTGATCATGTGGTCAAGTCACTGCATTCGGATGGATGGCCGAGCAGGCCAACGATTGGTGGAGGAGGAGGGGGAGAGAAAGAGAGTGAGAGAGAGAGAGAGAGAGAGAGAGAGAGAGAGAGAGAGAGAGAGAGGAGAGAGAGAGAGAGAGAGAGAGAGAGAGAGAGAGAGAGAGAGAGAGAGAGAGAGAGAGAGAGAGACAGAGAGAGAGAGAGAGAGAGAGAGAGAGAGAGAGAGAGAGAGAGAGAGACAGAGAGAGAGAGAGAGAGAGAGAATAACTTTATTCCAAGTCCGTTGAAAATAGCAAAATAGAAGAAAATTAGAAGATTAAAATTCTGGCCTAAATAAAAACAAAATAAAATTAATGAAAATATTAGATAAATACTTAAAACTAAAAGAAGAAATATATATATATATATATATATATATATATATATATATATATATATATATATATATTTATATATATATATATATATATATATATATATATATATATATATATATATATATTTATATATATATATATATTTGCCACCTTATATATATATATATAAGGTGGGAAATAAAATAAAATAAGGAATGTTATTCTATCCACTTCTTACGCTTAAGCATGATCTAATGTCTTCATCTCGAGAAAACTATTTTTTGCGAGGAAGCTATACTAACCCTACCTGGCAGGGGTTTAACTAACTCGTTTTAAATGAAACCGGGAATGGATAAGCTATTGTTTTAAAGGAAGTTGAGGATGTGGTTTTCCATTGCAGGAGGCAGCCTACCTACCGGAACTTATAGGGCCTTCCGGCGGCGACTTCTTCAATCCCTGCCCAGGACACTCTTCCGGCTTGGCTGGGGAGGCCTTCGCCGACCTGATAAACAGCCTCATCATCTCGGAGTGCCTGCTGGAGGCACCGTGCAGCTACCCTTACGACATGGGAGGTAACTGATAATTCCTTGCGCAGGAGTACGACAGGCCGTATTTTTACGTTTTTAGCAATGAGTTCTAAATATAAATTTGGTAAATACATGGTATCGAAAAAGAGTGAGTGCTATTTTTAATTTTCAATGAATAAACAAAAACCTTTTAAGAATATAATCTATTTCTTAAAGATGTAGAGATATTATAAATACAATATGTGTCATATGGATATTTGTTTTAATTTAAAAGATCCATATTTAGATTTTATCCTTGAAATTCATTGAAGCATCCTGGTCGGTGTCAAGAACTTTTCATAGAATGAGTGTATTTCTTTTAAGACAATCCTTTGCTGATTTCAGGTGAGTGCCGCCGATCTACGATATTCGACTTCATCGTTATCGGAGGGGGCACCGCAGGAGCAGTTCTTGCCGCCCGCCTATCCGAAATAGCGGATTGGAATGTACTCCTCATCGAGGCTGGAAACGATCCGGAAATGACCTCCGCCGTGCCTTACTTCTTCCAAAATCTCCTCAGAACTAAAATGGATTGGAACTTCGTGACTGTCCCCGAGAAAGGGCTCTACAACGGCCTCATGGGGAGGGTCAACAGGTGGCCGCTGGGCAAGGCACTCGGAGGGACCAGCTCGATCGGCCAGATGCTCTATATCCGCGGCTGCTCCAGGGACTTTGACAACATCGCGGCCGCTGGCAACGTAGGCTGGGCTTCCGAGGACGTAACCCCCTACTTCCTCAAGTCGGAGGACATGACAGACATGATATTACTCCAAAGCGAGGGTAACAGGGAATACCATGCCCGAGGGGGGCCCCTCAAATTGGGGCGGTTCTCCTACCTCGCGCCGATATCGGTCTTGATCCAAAACGTCAGCACCGATATCGGTTACCCGAGGAATTACGACATTAACGGTATATCGCAGGCTGGCTTCATGGCCCCCATGACCGGGACCGTGTTGACAGGCGAAAGGCTCAATACCGCCAAAGCTTTCATAAACCCAATAAAGCACAGGAAAAATCTTTTTGTTATTAAACACGGCTATGTTTATAAAATACTCATTTGTCCCAAAACGTCAAGAGCGTATGGGATCCAGTACATGTACAGAAATGAACAAATGGGCAGAACGCTGCGTGCTTCTAGAGAAATCATTGTCTGCGCGGGAACAGTTGGGTCGGCCAAGCTGATGATGCTGTCAGGTGTCGGCCCGAAGAATGAACTGGAGCTGTTGGGAATATACTGTGTAAAGAACCTGAGGGTGGGTCGCAACCTGATAGATTCCGTCCAGTTTCCTGGTGCGCCGATCGTTCTCGACTTCGGAGATTCTACTCAAACCACTTTGTGTGAACTGGATGAAGCTTACGAGTACCTAACCAGAAGGACCGGCTTGTTAGCGTCCATTGGAGCTACGGAATTGATAGGAATGATAAACTTGGATACGGACGAGTCACCTGATGTATCAATGCAATTTATGCATATTATAGTCAACGATTCTTTTCTACTACAAGACTTTTTGAAGAATCTCGGAGTGACCGATGAGATAGCTAGTCAGTATCTAGCTCTGACCTATAACCGCAATATTTTGATACCTTTCATCAAATTATTGCACCCCAGAAGTAGAGGAACCGTAAGGTTGAGGTCGGATAACATGGACGATATGCCATTGATTGAAACGAGATATCTCGAGCATTCGAAAGATTTCAATACGATAATGTGGGGCATCAAATATGTCGAAAAGATGTTATCTAACGAAATGTTTAAGCGTTACAACGCGACGATGAAATACCTGGAGATGGCGGGTTGCTGCGGAATCAAGCGGGGGACGGATCACTACTGGGCATGCGCGATGAGCCACCTCGCCGGGACGGGCTATGACCCCATCGGGACCTGCAAGATGGGACCCTCGGACGACCCCACGGCCGTGGTGGACCACCAGCTGAGGGTCTACGGGATCAAGGGACTGCGGGTGGCGGACGCGAGCATCATTCCGACCTCGGTCACGGGGCCACCGCTCGCCAGTGTCATCATGATCGCGGAGAAGGCGGCGGATATGATCAAGATGCAATGGATCAGCGACTACAAGCCCGTCTTCCGGCCCCCGCTCCCGGCCAAGTCGAAGCCGGAAGTCAAGGACAGCTAGCATGCCCAAGCTCTACCTCATTGGATGGACGGCACCGCAAGGCGATAACTTTATAGCCTGAAGTAGAACACGTAGGCATAGCGCGAAACAATGGTCGGGATCTGTAACAAATAGTCTACGCTTTATTTCATATGCATGAAAACCCTGATATTCACGTTTTATGAAAAATAAAAATGTGTTTTAGCTAATATCTACAATTTATGTAAAAGACAAAAAATCCACCAAGAGACAGGAAATCGATGCTAGGTCATAATTGTAAATCTTCTAATCTCTCAGCTTTCTGATTCTAAGATAAAGAATAAAATAACAGGAAAAATTCAACATGACATCAATTTATTTTGTGATTGATATGAAAATTCATATTTAAAGGGTTTCGAGATGCGAAGTACAAATTTCAACTTCGTCTCTCCTTAAAAATTATTTGAATCCAATATTTTATATGAACTCAAACATAGAAGGATTTCATAAGAGCTATTAATAAATAACAGGCTTAGCAAACCCAAATGCTCGATGCCGACACCACCAATCGCTCATTGCACACCTGCCACTATCGTTCGACGTCGAAACCCAGTCCATTCAGATCGGCTTTAATGTTATCTTCTCATCTTCGCTTCGGTCTACTCCTCGGACGGTTAACATTCGGTACAGCAAATATTAACCTTTTAGGAATTCTTTTGTTACTAAGCCCAACAATTTTACAAGCCCCGCTAATTCGCCGTGATGTAATCATCTAAATTATATTAACCGGATACAGTTCACGCAATTCAGCTTTGTGTAACCGCTTAAATTCTCCGGTTGACTTTCCTTCTTCGGTCCGAATATTCTACAGAATACTTTGTTTTCAAAAACCTTAAGACGTTGCTCATCTCTTAATTTAAGCGGCCCCGTTTCGCATCCATAAAGAACTGTAGGTAAGATAATGGTTTTAGATTCCAGTTTTTAAGTTGGCGATAAAAGTAGTTTTGTCACATTTATCGCCTTCAGACTAACCTTATTCTCCTCTTCAATTTATTTTTTTCTAGTTATCGTAGACCCTAGGCACCAAAACTTCTTTAACTGTTCAAACATATTACCTTCCATATCGATATCACCGGCAATATCGCCAGGTCTAATATTGAGCAAAAGTTTACGATTGTAATGAAATTCTTAGTTTAGTGTTTTAGAGGTGTAAAAAATAAATTTCATCTTTGTTTATTCTCAAAAAAATATATTTGATGGTATAATATGTACAATATATGCTTTATTTTTATTTTCTAATCGGATATCGACAATGTAACTCCCTTTTAAGACTAAATTAACCAGTTATGTCCCAAAGTATTTCTGAATATATGGATTAATAACTTAGAAATAAAAATTATAAACCACTTAGACCGATCTATATCGAATAATAGTAAAGGACTATCTTACAAGCTAGAGGGATTTTACAAGCTTTTTATGAAATCTTAATATGATATAAAAAAACGTGGTTAAAGAAAATATTGCAGAATTATTGGAGGAAGTTAGGCGACTGTTCTAAATATCATGGGTGATAAATATTCAGGACGCAGTCATCATAAGTTTTTATTCGTGCCGACGTTTCAACCCAAACATGTGGGTCATCATCAGGGCGTGTTTCGAGCACTGAAGTTATTCAAGAACTCTGTACATAGGTTATTCAAGATTACTTGAATACCTTCAGTGCTCGAAACATAACCTGATGATGACCCACACGTTTCGGTTGAAACGTCGGCACGAATAAAAACTTTATAATGACTACGTCCTGAGTATTTATAACCCATGAAAAAATTGTAGAATTGAAAAAAAAAAAAAGTATGCGATTAGATGTTAGGGAGTGATGTGTTTTCTTTCTGCACTAATGATGGCGAAACGTGGTGAGAATTTTTCTAATAATGACTTGATATAATCTAAAATTATTATGATTTTTTTTTTCAGTCTTTACAAACTTTGTAGTTTTAACCAGCTTTACCCGTCTGCCTTATCCTGGGCTATTTCTTTCCAGTGTCTGGTTTTTTAATTTCCACGTGGCCTCTTGCCCACTAGTTTTACTATTGAGTTTACTATTCTATTACTTAGCATTAATAGTTAAATTTAATTAATGTATTGAAATAAATATTAAAATTCTGGTGCGCGCGTCACGCAATTTTGACCGCTCTACTTTGAATAAAGATTATTTCATACCAACGATGGGTAATTCCAAAGTTAATAAAGTGCACTTTTAACGGAGCTAAACCTTACAGCTAACTGTAACAACTCCATTAGGCCAATAAAATAACGCAACCCCTATTTATTATATCCACTGTTAAGGGGACCCTACACAGTCAATCGGAATTGCACTAATGACGTTCCGAATTATCGTGTAAGGTAGTGAATGAAGTACTGATGGTGGTGCAATGCGGATTTCCGAACATCCGGAAATCAAAGGTTCATTCACGAGAAGTGGAGGGGGGGTAAGGTAAAAGTAGTGGGGAGACTAACCATACTGCTGGATAGGTTAGGTTACCTAGGCCTCACAACCATTATACATTTCTGATTTTCATTATATGTAAATATTTAAATAATTTTTCATATCCCTTGTTTATAATTTTAAACCATCTTCAACTATTTCTTTTAAATAGTCAAGTGGGTAACAAATTAAAAAAAATAAAATGAGGAAACCTCACAATTTACTTTAGGAAAAAAAAACTTTAACGTTGTGTATATTTATCAGTTCTTTTCCCATTTTCCTCAACAAATTTATTATTTTCGCAATACCTTTCCTTAATTTTTGTAAGCGGTAGACTTATATTTTACTAACTTTTGTCAAAACGATTTTCTATGAGACTAACTAACCTTACTACTAGATAGGTTAGTTTACCTAGGTCTCGTTATTAAGTAAATAATTTCATAAAAGTAAATAGTTGTTTATATCCCTAGTCTATATTATTATTACCCATTTTCAACTATTTTTTCTTTAAATAGTCAAGTAGGCAATAAATTGGAGAGAAAAAAAAGTGGAAACTTCACAATTTACAAAAAAAGCTTTAACTGTTGCGTTTATTTGCCATTAATTTTTCCATTTTTCTTAACAAATTGATTATTTTCGCAATGCGTTTCATAGATTTTTGTATGTAGTTGACTTATATTTTTCTAACTTTGGTCTAAACGATTTTCAGGCACTAGGAAGTAATTATTATATCTCCGTTTTTATCTTGATGCCCAATATTATAAATGACAATGTCCAAATAAGCATATCTATGCTGCTTCTTTGTTTACAACTGCGCTAAATTAGTCAGCAACGATCTAACATAAATCAGAAACGATAAGTAATGATCAGTAATGATTGAACGTGTAAGGGTCTTCATGATCAAAGCGATAGCGGGCAATCTTGGAACTTCTTGTGGCGTTCATTCATGAATTACCGTGTAGGGCCCCCTTAAGCAAGTAACTCCACGTGGTTTTGTAAACCACATAACTCCAGTCTCTGAACTATATGTCTTGAGAGATTTGAAGGTATGTCTGTATATTTAACCAATAAATGACTATGGATTGTACCACTATTATTTATTAAAATTATTTTTCCATTGTGAAGTTTACAAAAAATAAATTATCTACCATCGATAGGACAAAAGTTGTCAGATTAATTTTAAGTTGACAATGTTGCGCCTTCACAAAAGCGAAAATTCGTTAGATTATTCTCTAATTTAATTAACTAAAATGTTACACGATGATTTTGTTGAATATGCCGACGATAGATATCTAATTATTTAAATATAATATCGGATCTAGGAGTTATTAAACAACAGTAAATGTATTTAAGGTTTTAAGCATGTGTTTCACACATTCATGGAATATTTTTAGATTTAACTTCTTCTTTAACAATAGAACAATAAAATAGTTTTTTCAACGATATAATTGTCTTGATTCAGTGGATTTTATATGTTTTTTTCTCAAACTTAAGAAATAATTTTAAAAGTTTACATTTAGTTAGGACACTTGGTTTAATTTCCTTGGAAACATTTGGTTTCCGTTAAATAATAATAGTTTTTATATGACGTTGTATATTGAATATTGTTTTTTCTAAAATTCTCAGTTTCCCAATGATATATTAAACGCATACTTTCTGACTATTATTACCGGAAATTCATTTTCGACCTAAATAAACATTTTTTTCTTTTTTCTCCTTTAGTCAATTAACAATTTTTTTCAGCGATTATATTTAGCCTTTTTTTTATTACTGCAAACAATGAGATATAGTTAATTATTTAAAATAAACCAACTTTTGAGGCACTTTAGAGGGAGAAATATTGAGCATTAGGCACTTAAGCTCTGTTATGTGGCATAAATGAGGATAAGACCTAACTAATATTAAAGGCAATTTAATTGTACATTGATATACCGAGTTTAATCAATATCGTTCTAGCAGTTTTCGAGAAAACTGTAAAAATGTGTAAAATCTTATATCTAAAGTGAGACTTAACTGATTGACCTCAGCCATGTACGTACCTTAAATAGCTAATTAAAAACTTCATTTATGAGCTAGACTGTTCATACACACAGACCATTTTGTGGAACTTAGTAATTTGGACTCAGGGGATCTCAAAACGTGTATTTCCGTTGAAAACTCAGATTCGAAAATTTTCACGATCGTTATTACATATATAGATAAGATAAGTAATAAGAGAGAATCAGGTGGAAATCTAACTCTCCCATCCTTCCCATTGGATGGGACTCAATACTATAGCGGACCCTACACGGTAATTCATGAATGAACGTCACAAGAAGTTTCAAGATTGCCCGCTAACGCTTTGATCATGAAGACCCTTACACGTTCAATCATTACTGATCATTACTTATGTAAAGTTTCCACTTTTCTCTCCAATTTGTTACCTACTTGACTATTTAAAGAAAAAATAGTTGAAAATGGTTAATAATAATATAGACTAGGGATATAAACAACTATTTACTTTTATGAAATTATTTACTTAATAACGAGACCTAGGTAAACTAACCTATCTAGTAGCAAGGTTAGTCTCACAGAAAATCGTTTTGACAAAAGTTAGTAAAATATAAATCTACTGCTTACAAAAATTAAGGAAAGGTATTGCGAAAATAATAAATTTGTTGAGGAAAATGGGAAAAGAACTGATAAATATACACAACGTTAAAGTTTTTTTTTTCCTAAAGTAAATTGTGAAGTTTCCTCATTTTTTTTTACTATAATGTTCAACTATTTACATATAATGAAAATCAGAAATTTATAATGGTTGTGAGGCCTAGGTAACCTAACCTATCCAGCAGTATGGTTAGTCTCCCCACTACTTTTACCTCAGCCCCCCCTCCACTTCTCGTGAATGAACCTTTGATTTCCGGATGTTCGGAAATCCGCAGCGCACCACCATCAGTACTTCATTCACTACCTTACACGACAATTCAGAACGTCATTAGTGCAATTCCGATTGACCGTGTAGGGTCCCCTTATAAAAATTAAATATTTTTATTCCAACTATAACTAAGTCGATTTCAACTTTTACCGAAATAATTGAAAAAACAAAACAAAACTATGTTCTTAAATATTCAATAAATAATATATTCCTATTTATTTCCTAACCAAAACACATATGTATCGTATAGAAATCAATAATTTACAATTGTTAATTTCGACAATCGTTAACCTTAAAAGGTTAGGGTATATAAAATGAAACATGGGAAGACATGCTTGACTACGGAGTCACTTCTTGCATCTACGCACAGGAAGAGGTGGTTATAAGATAAAACCATCTCACAAAATATGGAAAAACGTTCACGGAGTTTCATCATTTGCTTCTTCGCTTTTCTTGGGATGGTTGCCTCGGATGGGACGGAAATCGAATTGGAAGATGTCGAAGAACCTCCCTCCCTGGGAGATGAAGTAGGTTATAATTTAAATAATATTAATACATATTTAAATAACCCTAAGTTCGATTCCAGTCACAGTTGAAATTATTGAGGTACTTGGTGTAAATTCAAACAAAATTAATTTAAAAAAACTTCGACTTTGTTCAGTATGGAGCATTGCAGTCTATAAGGTGTCCGTTTATTTTTATTTTTCTACTTTACTTTGGAAATGATTTTAAATTCTACGAACAAAACAAAAATAATAATAACAGTTAACCACTATATAAAACCTTTTTAAAATTATACCTAACCTTAAAAAAAATGTACGGTTGTATGGTAATAATGACCCGTTTTCCGGCTCCTAGGAGCTATTAATTTTGATGAACAAGGTACAAAATGAAAGGGAATGTTATGGAGAAATAATGAATCTCAATTTCAAAATGTTAATCCTTACTACAATTGCAATAAAATTTATTTATTTATTTTAAATTTGCCACTGCGTTGGAACGCATCAAGCAAATGTGTTGGCGTTAATTATATCTTCTTGAATTCCTGATATTTTCTTAGCTTTTCAGCAGAAGATCTCTAGACCAATGCCTTTTTAGTCATCTTTGTGGCTCACCAGGTAACACGGAGGAAGATAGAGATAGAACGAGTGGATTTGGATGATTGAGAGTAGAAGAATGAAATGTTGTGGATACATTATTAATTAAGAATTAACCGGATACAGTTCATGCAATGCACCACCCGAACGCTCCGGTTAACTCATCCTTCTCCGGTCCGAATATTCTACACAAAATCTTTATTTTCAAAAATCTTAAGACCTATAATATGAAATATAAATTATAAATAATAGCGCATCACAAAGAATATGAAATGCTGAACATTTCCCTCGCTTACAGTGTACTATTTTTAGTTTCTGAGATATCTTAATCCATATGCAAAAACACTTCAATCAGTCGACTCCAGTCCGAGCGTTACACATCGGAGATCTAACGGGTCAATCTAATTCATTCTCCACAAAAAAAGTGCAAAACGCGCCTACATAAGTTTTCACTCCAAAACAGTATTAATTGTAATTCAATCCGGATAGTCCTGATGAAGATTAAAATACCATGAAATGTTGAAAAACTTATAAGAACATCAGTAAAAAAAGATATATTAGTATATATATAATACATATTGCATTACAAACAAAAAAGTTTAATAATTAATATATAACTAAATTTTTTATTTACTCTTTGTATATCCCTTTTTTATAAGTAATTATTTAAACAATGGAAATTAGAAGAGTTTGTAATTTAACTCCGCGGTCCAGACCTTTTCTAATCAAATTATTTGCATCTGTCTAAAACTTCATAAATGGCTTTATCTTCTTGTAAGCTACAACTTTTAAAAAATTAAATTCTCATAAACTAATTAATTGAATAAAAGGTAATAAAAACTGATGAATATCCATTTGCATTTCACTTGAATCGTAAGATAATTTGATCATAAAATCGAGAACCTTTTCATGTAACCTTTTCGATTTATATTATATCCATTTATTAGAGACAAAATGGCTGCCTGTGAGTCAACAAAGAAAGCATAATATTGAATCTTCAAATACGGCAGTCTTTCGCATTTTAATATTAGCTGATAAACGAAATTCGTGGGTATCAAACCCGCAAATTTTGAAAGGTAACTGTATTTCCGAATCAGCTTCAACCAGAGTTTTTATTCTCATACGAAAAATTGTATACCTTGTAATATTTTAATATTTTAGATAATGAAAACGGTGAGGAAGCTACTGACCTTACTTGGCAGACGTTTTTTATTTATGGATATATATGGATTTTTTATATTAATCTTGCGAGAATTATTACCGCTATATTATCACCGTAATTCAGGTGTTTCAGAGGTATTTCACTAGCTTTTCTATTCTTTCCTCCTTTTAAGGGTTCTTATACATCTTCGGTGGATATTCTTTATACTTTTGGTTTATTATTTTCAATAATGAAACATTGTGATCGACCAAAAAATTCAAAAACATAACCCCCTCTCAAAATTTGATGAGGGACCCGAGGATGATCCTCCTTCATCGACATTACTCTCCGCCTTTAACTTTCAAAATGGCGTCCGAAAAACCTGCGTTGCTATAGACTGTAGCTCCTAAACGAATGAACAGATTTCAATGAAACTTCGCTAAAGTCATTTTACCGACGCCCTTTAAATTTATCTATATAACATACTTCAAGGAAAAGAAGCTAGAAAAAAAGTTACGAGGGATGGTAAAATTAAATTCCGAATAATTCGAAAAGTTTTTACGTAGATATTGTATATGGTTTTTCACGGAAGTTTACGAAATTTTCAAAAAAAGAATTGTTAAAATCGGACAATTAGGAGCAAAGATATGGTCTCTGTTAACTATTATAACCTCTGGGTGTGTTATAAGAGATTGAGTTTAACCTTATGTAGATTGCTGTACAATGTGGTACTTACTTCCTTTGTTGATTATAATGTAATGTGTTTTGGTAATTAAAAGATAAAAAAAATATCAGTGAGTGTTTTATTAGGAAATACCAAAACACATTACATTATAATCAACAAAGGCAGTAAGTACCACATTGTACAGCAATCTACATAAGGTTAAACTCAATCTCTTATAACACACCCAGAGGTTATAATAGTTAACACACAGAGGTTCAAAAATAATCGATTTTATAATAAATTATGTTTTCACTTTAACAGTATCCGGGTTTTTTTTATGTGTTCTACCCCAAAAGTTATATCCTTGGTTTGGTTTTTAAATTTTAAATGTGTTATTGAAGTAATGCTATTTTTTTCTAGCATATTACTAATGATTAAAGAAAAACTGTTTAGTCCAATAAGTGGAATCACCTCTTGTTTTTTTTTTTTCTTTGTAACTAGGAAGGTAATGTTACTTTAGATGTATAATTGTTTGGAAATAATAAACCATTGTGAAATAATTTGCAGCGTTTTTATATTAGTTACTTTTTATTTATTTGTAATATGATTCCACCCGCCCCTCTACATACTTATTAACATGCTCTTATTTTAGGAGGCGGCTTTCGTGGCCTCGGCACTCCATACTGGGTGCGCGGGTGACATTTTCAACCCTTGTCCAGGCCACGCCACTGGAATCGCTGGAGAAGCCTTCGCCGATCTCATTAACACGATCCTTCTATCCAGTTGCCTCTTATCACCTCCTTGCGCCTACCCTCCCAACGTCGGTGGTAATGTATAGCAATACTTAATCAATATTAAATAAAATTATAAAATATAACCACTTATCGTGATAAATATTGTAGTAAGCCTGTTATACTATTGAAATTTAAAAAAAAACTTTTGTATTTTCTTTATAAGTTGCTCTAACTCTATTTATCAGCGCATATGCGAATAGTCATTGCAGGATAAATAAACAGGATGTTTTAAGGCTAAATATTCCAAGCTTAAGGAAATCAAAAAGCTCTTAAAAACTTCCATTATTCAATCTGTCAATCTACCACTGGAAGAGCCAACCTTCACCGAGAGCCAAAAAGGCTTGAATCTATATATATATAAATGAATGCATGCCTGTCTGTCTGTCTGTTTGTCCTTTGTGCATTACTAAACCATTCAACCGATCGCCATGAAACTTTGGGAAGTTGTTCCGTACACTCGGTTTCTTGCATAGTATTTCTGTCTTACGATAATTTTATATATGTAAATAAATAAAAATGTAAATGTTTTTCTGTTCAAAGCCGCAAAAAAAAAAAATGTGTCGCTATAAACTGTAGCGCCAAAACGGCTTTACCGATTTTAACGAAACTTGGCTAAAGTCTCTCCCTTGAAACCCTTTTAATTTATGTGTATAACATACTATCCCGAAAACATGCTGAAAAATGTTATGATGTATTCAATATTTTATTTGACGATAACTAAAAAAGTACAGAATTTTTGACTGATAATATCCGTATTTATATGAAAGATTTCTGAATTGCTGACAAAGTAAAAAAAAATCATCGAAATCGGACGGTTCGTTGCAGAGTTATAGAGTTTTAAACATTTGCTGTTTTTAGAAAAGGCCATTTCCTTTTGCTTCCTCACTACCGAAGGTAGGCAAGCATTAATTACTACAGTAATTGAAATTATCATTTGAAGAAGTTATATGATTCTCGTTATGTAAGTCAATACTATTATACGTTCTTTATATTAATTTTTTATTTTAGTTTTATAAGTTCAACTCAGGCTGTTTCTGATGATTATTAATGACGGCGTATTCACTCAGATGATTATGAATGTTCAATTTGAATCTTGAGAAACAAAAACATTATAATTAGTTTAAATTGATGCCATTTTATAACCAAATTTGTTTACCAACTTTTTATAAATGACAGATGTCCTTTGCTAATATGTGCTTTCTATTTTATTTCTTTTCCATTTTGCGGGGCTAAGCCACTGCAGCGCGTGGCCGGGTAAAGCTAGTAATAAAATAAAAATTGAAAGAAATGATGATGTTTTTTTAATAGAACTTAAAAGGAGGCTTTCTTGTCTGGAGTTGGACTGCTCAAAATCATTTTGAATATAGCAGCTATAACCTCAAATTATTCCATCTGAATAATTCAAATTGGTATTAGAGCATTTCCAAGTCAATTTCAACCTTTTCCAAATCAAATTCAACCTTTTCCATTTCAAATTCAACTTTTGAATTTTTGTCAATTTTCGATTTTTTTTTTCGAAATGAAGGCCACTTACTATATTATTGAGGGCATAGCTTTTGAAAAATACAAAAAAAAAAAAAAAAAATGATAAAGCTGTTGCATATCCATTTATTTTAACATTTTAGATATTTTCAGTGTAATATTTCTATGTCCTATTCAATTATTTCCAAGTCAAATTCAAGATTTTCCAAGTCAAATTCAACCTTTTCCAAATCAAATTAATGTTTTAATTTTTAGTAAATATTAATTTTTTTTTAAATAATGGGGATGGCTCCTCCCCCTCCAATATGAAGGTCTATTATTATGCTCTCCTAAGTAGAATTTTCACTTACGGATATCGATTTAATGTACCTATTCGGATTTTTTAGGGACTAGTATTATGCTGTCCTGTACCTAGTTTTTAAAATAACCTCCATTTTAAGATTACCCCACTGCGTTTCGACTTATTTAAGTTTTTTTGATTTATTCGATACAAGGATGCATTCTTATGTTTCCAGAGCCGTACATTTTGAAATCGACCTCCATTTTAAGATTAGGCCACCGCGTTTCGATTTCTTTTAGTGTTTCGAATTTTTATCATAAAAGGGTATATTCTTATGTTTCCGGAGTCGTAGATTTTGAAAATAATCTCCATTTTAATATTACCCCACAGCGTTTCCACTTATTCAAGTGTTTCGAATTTTTATCATAAAAGAGAGTATTCTTATGTTTCCGGAGTCGTAGATTTTGAAAATGATTTCCATTTTAAGATTAAGTCACTGCATTTTGACTTATTCAAGTTTTTAGAATTTATCTAATTTAAAGTTCTACTTTTATGATGCCGGAGCCTTACTTTTTACAAAAATTCCAAAATGAAGCCTAATTAATCGAGATGATAAAACACGGTGGCCTAATCTTAAAATGGAGGTCGTTTTCAAAATCTACGGCTTCGGAAACATAAGAATGCACCCTTTTATGAAAAAAATTCGAAACACTCAAGAAATCGAAACGCGGTGACCTAATCTTAAAATGGAGGTCGTTTTCAAAATCTACGACTTCGGAAACATTAGAATACGACCTTTTATGAAAAAAATTCAAAACACCTAAAGAAATTAAAACGCGGTGGCCTAATCTTAAAATGGAGGTCGATTTCAAAATCTACGGCTCTGGAAACATAAGAATGCACCCTTGTATCGAATAAATTAAAAAAACTTAAATAAGTCGAAACGCAGTGGGGTAATCTTAAAATGGAGGTTATTTTAAAAACTAGGCACAGGACAGCATAATACTAGTCCCTAAAAAATCCGAATAGGTACAATAAATCGATATCCGTAAGTGAAAATTCTACTTAGGAGAGCATAATAGACCTTCATATTGGAGGGGGGAGGAGCCATCCCCATTATTTAAAAAAAAAATTAATATTTACTAAAAATTAAAACATTAATTTGAAATGAAAACGGTTGAATTTGAATTGGAAAAGGTTTAATATGAAATGGAAATGGTTGAATTAGACTTGAAAAAAGTTTAATTTGATTTGGAAAAGGTTGAATTTGACTTGGAAAAGGTTGAATTTGACTTGGAAATAATTGAATAGGACATAGAAATATTACACTGAAAATATCTAAAATGTTAAAATAAATGGATATGCAACCGCTTTATCAAATTTTTTTTTTGTACTTTTCAAAAGCTATGCCCTCAATAATATAGTAAGTGGCCTTCATTTCGAAAAAAATCGAAAATTTACAGAAATTCGAAAGTTGAATTTGAAATGGAAAAGGTTGAATTTGACTTGGAAAAGGTTGAATTTGATTTGGAAAAGGTTGAAATTGACTTGGAAATGCTATATTTACCGAACTTGACGGTGGAGTGTAAATACCCATTCCACCCACATTAACATCTCCCAAGATCTCTACACAACCATAGACCGACAGAAACTCACCATCCTCATTCTCCTTAATTTTTCGGAAGCTTTTGACACAGTAGACCACAATATCCTCCTTACCGAACTAAAATATCTCGTTGTCCTATAGTGTCCTTAATTGGTTCCAATCCTTCCTCACCGGTCGCTCCCAGTTTGTTGTAATTCCTAATAATCTCTCCACAGAGTCCCTACTCTAGTCCCGAAAAGTTCCACAGGATACCTTCTTATCTCCCATCCTTGTTTCCATCCATATCAATGTCCTTCCATCTTCTACCCAGCACTGTAAATACCACATCTCTTATAACATCCATTCCTATACCTCCCAGTCATCTCTTGAGCAACTGGCCTAACTCGTTCCAAACTTCCGTTAAAAATCTTGGTGTTCTTTTTTGATCAAACCCTCGCTTAGTAACCACACATCTACCTAATTTTCCGTCGTCCTTTTCTACCCTGAAACGGTTCAAGATATCTCCTTCCATACCATGTGTTAGGGCCAGGAGTATTTCAAAATGGAATATACAAATCTTTCCCCGGTGAGTTTCGTCAAAGATGGAAATAATACGAGCAAACTTAAATGGTGGGAAAGAAGGGGAAAAAATTGTGAATATGAAACCTGTAAAACATGAAAAATGTGCATGCACAAGAAAATATTTAAAAAATAGAAATATTTCAATAAATCAATTTCTGTATTTTAATTATGTTAATATTTAATTTAATGTATGACCATATAGGCATTTTCTCTGTATTTATAAATTATCCTAAATGGACAACAGTCCCAGGATAATAAAAAATATATTTTAATTTCATTTCATTGTACAACTTGTACAGCGTTTATTTAAAGAACGGTGTAGTTATGAAGTATCTTCAGCTGGTACCGAGCTCGAGAAAGTTATGGAGTTGTAGCGATTCAGCTCGGTATTTAATTTTATATTTTATAATACATTATTCAGTTACATTGTACTTACATTATTCTTTACATTGAGGTAGTTAATGATTGCTATTATTAATTAAGTTATTTTATCTGTTGCAGACAACTGTATCTCGAAAACTATTTTCGACTTCATAGTGATCGGAGGAGGGACATCAGGTAGCGTTGTGGCGTCAAGACTCTCGGAAGTTGCGGATTGGAACATCTTGCTCTTGGAGGCTGGGGGCGATCCGCCCATGACTTCCGATGTACCCCTCTTCCACATTAACCTCCAGAGAACGGACATTGATTGGAATTTCTTGACGTCGAGGGAAGTTGGGCTCTTTAATGGCCTTATGGGGAGAGTCAACAGATGGCCGAGAGGAAAGACTTTAGGTGGAACGAGCGCTATGGGAAGCATGCTCTATATCCGGGGACACCGAAGGGACTTCGACAATATAGCTGCTAAGGGAAACGTCGGCTGGGCCTACGACGATCTCCTTCCTTACTATCTCAAGTCAGAAGATATGCGCGAACTCGCTAAACTCGACAGTCCTGTGTTTTCTTCTTTTCACAAAAGTGGCGGCCCCCTAACCATCAGTCGCTTTGGACCGACGGTTCCAATCGTCGAGATGCTCCAAAAGGCCGCTTCAGAACTCGGAGCTTTCCCGAATGGCGATTTAAACGTCCAAAACATGCCTGGTATGGCATCGCCTAATGTAGGAACCGTTCGCAATGGCGAAAGGGTCAATACCGCTAAAGCTTTCTTGAGTCCTGTAAGAGCTAGAAAGAACTTATTTGTCATCAAATACGCTCGAGTCACGAAAATTCACATCTGCCCACAGACAAAAAGAGCCTACGGAGTAGAATACGTTTATAGAACTGAAACAGCGGCTAGAACCCTGCGTACTTCTCGTGAAATCATTGTTTGCGCAGGCGCAGTCAATTCACCCGTTTTGTTGATGCTCTCAGGAGTAGGTCCGAAAAACGATTTGGAGCTAAACAACATCTACGTCATTCAAAATTTGAGAGTTGGAAGAAATTTGCGTGATACGGTGACCTATCCGCTCATGTTGACGAGATTGAATTTTCAGAACGAGTCAGTTTCTCCTTTAGAAAGTTTAGATGCGGCCTATGAATATCTGACAAGGCGGACTGGTCCTCTTGCTGGAATAGGTAGCGAAGAACTCGTAGGAATGGTGAGCAATGACGAAGACGATTACCCGGACATCCAATTGCGTTTCATATATGCTCGATTTAATGAAACGGAAGTAATAACAGATTTGTCAAAAGCCCATGGATTCGAAGAGGAGATTGTCGTGGGCCTTTTAGAAAAACTGAAATATCACGATCTTATCATTACCCAAATGTCACTGTTACGCCCTCATAGTGTAGGAACCATCAGGTTGAAGTCTAATGATCCAGATGGCGCACCTTTGATCATATCTAATTACCTGGAACACCCTAAAGATTTTACTGAACTAATGTATGGGATTCGGTTTATAGAAAAACTCGTCAACACCAAAACAATGCATAAGTACAATGCCAGTATGGACTATGTAGATTTCGCTGGGTGCTGTGGTATACCATACGGTTCCGATTATTATTGGTCGTGCGCGTTTAGCCACATCGCCGGGACAGGGCACAACCAAATCGGGACCTGCAAGATGGGTCCTTGCGAAGATCCAGACGCCGTGGTGGACCCCCAGCTGAGGGTGCACGGCATCCACGGCCTGCGGGTGGCCGACGCCAGCATCCTCCCGTCCAGCGTCACCGGATCCACAATGGCCACTGTCATCATGATCGGCGAGAAGGTGAGCGACATGATCAAGTACCAATGGATCCCCAACTACAAGCCCGTCTTCTTCACACGCTCCCCTTACCCCAAACGTACGACCATGATGCATCCAAAACATCACAAATCTGTTTATGAAAGGGAGCCAGGATCTGCAAACGTATAACCTTGAATATACAATAAAGTATATTTTATGAAAGCATATTCTCTATTTATAGATATTTTCCTTCAAAAGGTAAATGAAAAGTTCATCATAATCTCAGTATGATCTGAAATTCGATATCGTTTTATCACCATTCTTACCGTCCCATAATATGAAATATTATTCTTGATATATGGGATTCTCAATAAAGAAATTATAATTGCCTCTTCGTAACTACCCCATTAATAGTGTCCAACAAACAGCCTCGCGTTGCATGTAAAAAGAACATTTATCCGAAGCCACTATAATGTCTATACGTGTTGTTTATATCGTATATGTATATATAAATAAAAAAAACATGGATTTAATGTAAAATATTTACTTTAATCCATACAAGAAGAAAAATAAATGATCTTATAAGTCAAATATGATAAGTAAGTTGGGTACTTGGATGATTTGCAATTTTTATTCGTAGATGTAGATTAGATGATCGTCATCATCATCATAGCTTTACAACCTGATCTCGAGTTCTAGCCTCTTCCAGCGGCTTCCTTCAATTGTCCCTGTCCTGTACAGATCCAATTCAATTCCTTAATCCGCAAATTCATCTTCCAAATTTCAACAAACCAACGCAATCTCAGTCTTGCTTCTTATGCCATACAGCGGTTGCCTAAGGAACTTCTTTGGTATTTCCTTCCCTTCCTTCCTTGATACATGTCCAATCCACCTTATTTTTTTATCTAGCTATCTTAATGGCTCAAATAAAATCCCAATCAGTGAGACCTCCTCGATGAATTTATCTGTTCAGTGCGACCACTTTCCAATTTCTGACCCCCAACAGGTATCTCGCGTCACCTGCCAGTTCTCCTTGTATAGTTTAATGGCTCCTCAAATACTTTCATCGGAATTTCAGATCTCTCCATCCGATCTGTGCGTCCCAACTTAACCTTCCTAATTTTATTATTCTGATCACATCAGATCCATTAAGCAATCCATAGACCTCTATATTCTTCCAAATTATCCAAGCTAATTCCTTCCTTATTGGGCCAAATATTTTTCGAAGGATTTTCCTTTCAAAGACCAAAAGGTCTTTTAAAATCATTTAGGGATCTTAAAATCCAAGGTTAGCATCTATTGTCTTGGTTATGACTGTTCCCAGACCTATATTTGGTCTTCTTCACGATTCCGTACTCTTCTTCTCCACGCAGTCACTCGAAGTTTAGCCAAGTTCTCCATCAGCCAGCTTGTCCTGGGACGCCCCCCTCTTTTTTTACCTTGAAAATATCTTTCTCGTCATCTGTCCTGGTTAACCTTCCCTTGTGGCTTTCAACATTAGCCTGCTCAATTTCATGATGTGCACGATATGTCCAGTCTACGAAAATAGGTGATTGCCTTATATGTAGCAATCGCAGAGGAATCTACGCTCGTCTGGCTATTTTATTTGTTTATTTAGACATACAATATTCTGTCACAGGGACAATAATTATATTGATAAATGAACACATTCACACCGTATATACAAAAAAAAAAAAATTAACAAAGTAAAACAATATTTAAATAATAATAAATAAAAACTATATACAATAAAAAAACCCTAAATATAAGTAAATTAAAAACATAAAAATACAATCATACCTATATACAATCAGGCGGGGAACCCAAATCCCTGCGCTAGTCTCTCAACCTCCTCACCGGTGCTAAAGCCGGTGGAGTTTGAGCGAGAGCCCTTTAACGCTCGTCTGGCTATAAAATACTTTCAAATATTCTGTTTCATCGTCTTCTACCATGTGAAAAACAAGAACTTAGGCATTACCACTGCGGTTTCAAGAAGGGGAAGTCTACCACCGACCAGATATTCAGCCTACGGGCAATTCGTGAGAGGATACGTGATACAACACGGAGACTGGCCATTTGGCCATCTAATTCAAAGCGGCCTATGATAATGTTAATCGCGAAGTGCTGTATAACGCGCTCAAAGTATTCAAAAATTCTAACAAGCTCAAAAGCATGATTGAAGGTTAGATTATAACAATAAAACAAAATGCTGATGTATAATTCCAAAGATTATTTAAGTTGAAGCACTTCCAGTTGAAGCGGATCCAGGATTTAATTTTGGAGGGGCCTTCAGCCCGAAAGCTTTTTTTTTCATAAAAATAACGATAATTACTTTGGAAAGAAACAAAGAAACTAACTATCTATATGAAATGGTGTTTAGGTGATTCCTAAAGTCCTTTAAAATGTAATTACACGAACAATAATACTTTAAGAGATAATTTTTTATTATTTTTTTCTATTAAACATGGTTATATTTTATCATTTATGGGGGAGGAAGGGGCTTCAGCCCCAAAGTACCCCCTCCCTCTTTCCTCCGTAGATCCGCCCGTGGGTTGAAGAAAAGTGGTGGTGATCCAGCAACGTCCACGATCTCACAACTCATACTGTTCATTATTTTATTCTTTTTAGCTTATACTAGTGTTTCAGCTCCTAAACTAATATATAAAAAATATCTTACCTAAAAAGGTTGCAAGTGAATATAGAATTATGAACATTGACATAATATGAAACGTTAACTGACAAGCAGTATTCCGTCTGCAATAATATGTTAAAGTGCGTAGGTGTAAAAAAAGAAAGTGTTGTTTATTTAAAATGCAAAATTGGTGTCTGTATGTGTTTGAACTAGATCTAGCAAAATATATATGAAATATTATTTCAATATAAAAATGATTTTTTATTAAAATAAAAAATACAAATTATATAAATAGTTTATTTTACTTTACTGTATTTATGAACGTTAATGATTTGCAGAAACCAAAGAAGTGTTAAAATATTGTAAACATGATGCAAGGACTTCTCTCTATTCCAACGTCGTCATGGCCTGGCATCACCAAGGAGATAACATTGGATATATTTTATTGTTTAACGATTTTCCTTTCTCTCTGCCGTCTCTGAAGAAAAATATTTATTAAAAATGTATTTTATAAATAAATAAAATAAGCTAGGATCTCAAAGAGGTTGAAGTGCATCATGCGCGGTTGCCCTATACGTCAACTGTATATGTGGCTATACCACCAGTCCACACCACACCTCCGAGGCGTATTGTTATATCAAGTTTTCAGCTAAATATGAACATATTTTATCACCTGAAAAGTGAAATCTCGATCTTAATTACGTGCTCAATTACTTGGGCACCACTGTACAAGTGCCACTCTGATTTGACCAGTACGCCAATATCAGATGATCACGCACCAATCGGGATTCCGAGAAATGTCGACAATTGACGTGTTCACAATATAACCTCCCTTTATTTAGATCATGAGTCACGATATCGGAAAACTCAGTGCTGGTTCTTTTCAGTTAAAATCGGGACATTAATTAGCTTCAATTACATAAATGCTTTAGACTTTTTCTCGCTCTGAAGGGTGTCCAGAACGGGATTTCTTACCACCATAAAAATTGTGGAGGGGCTCACATTTTGACAAAGTGATATTTCGATGGGATTATGAATATTCGAAATGAAAAGTTTCAAACCAAAAGACAAGGTGAAGCATGGAACAGTCTGCAGGATGAGTAATTATATTACCTACGACTTTTTATATTATACTTTCAATTACACTGTTTTTTAAGAAGAGGAGAGCAACAAAATATATTGGAGAAGTGGGGGAAGGGTCATACGCCAATACTCTTGGGGAGCACCCCTGGATAAATCATCCCCAACAGGTTCTCTTCAGTCGAGGTCCCTTACAAATGTCTACTTTCGAAATCACTCGACCATTCCCGAGATTTCACTTATGGAATGATCATGATATCTTGTATCATCTATTAAAGTGGAAAAGCATTTGTAGAGTAGTACCTTGGATTGTTCCATATTTCCTCATAGTTCCATGGTTTAAAAATTTTCCCTTTGGAAATTCATAACCCATCAAAAATTGCCCCTCTAAAAATTTCCAAACCACGTCAAAATTAGCCCCCAGAATTCAGAAATTTTGATATCCCTTTCTGGCATAAGCAACGTAAAGACACGGTCTGCCTCCTCATCACTCAAATTTAAAGCTTGATAAATTCCAACATTTATACTATAGTGCGGACGCAACACGATAATTCATGAATGATAGTCATATGACTAACAAAGATTGCTTCATTCATGATGAGCCTTACACGTTCAATCATACTGATTTTAGCTCAGTTGACGATGAGATTACAAGCAATTTGAATCTGGTGCATTGTCCATTTATAATAATGTATTTCATTAAAAAGGCGTTGGACATCAAGAGAAAAATAGAGACATAATAATTACTTCTTAGTGCCTGAAAACCGTTTTGACAAAAGTGAAAAATATATAAGTCTACTACTTACAGAAATCAAGAAAAAGTATTGAGAAAATAATAACCTTTTGGGGAAAAATGGAAAAAGAACTGACAAATATAGACAACAGTTAAAGATTATTTTTTTCTATCAGTAAATTGTGAAGTCTCCACTTTTTAAAAAAATATTGTCCACTTCACTATTTAAAAAAAATCAGTTGAAGATGGTTTGTAAAAATATAAACAACGGATATGATAAACTATTTACTTTGAATGAAAATCAGGAACTTATAATGGTTGTGAAGCCTAGTTAAACTAACCTACCAAGTAGTTAGTGTTCCCAAAATCGGTCTTGGTCTTGCACTTCGCATAACTGTTGCAAGACCAAGGCTGGTAAAAAAAAATCGATTTTTTGATTAAAAATAAAGTTGCTAATACTTGACAATTTTAGTTTATATACTTAAAGAATTGGTAAAACCAATATACTTTTGTATTTAAATCTTCTAATTTTTCATTCGGGCGTAGTTAAGTTTCTTCTGTCCAAAAAAATACATTAATATTTCTATAGTAATAAGCTAATAAATAACTTGTTAAGGGGACCCTACACGGTAATTTATGAATGAACGTCACAAGAAGTTCCAAGATTGCCCGCTATCGCTTTGATCATGAAGACCCTTACACGTTCAATCATTACTGATCATTACTTATGTGAAGTTTCCACTTTTTTTTCTCTCCAATTTATTGTCTACTTGACTTTTTAAAGAAAAAATAGTTGAAAATGGTTAATAATAACATAGACTTATAGTTAATAATAACAACTATTTACTTTTATGAAATTATTTACTTAATAACGAGACCTAGGTAAACTAACCTATCTAGTAGTAAGGTTAGTCTCATAGAAAACCTAACCTAACCTATCACTTCTCGTGAATGAACCTTTGATTTCCGGATGTTCGGAAATCCGCAGCGCACCACCATCAGTACTTCATTTACTACCTTACACGACAATTCGGAACGTCATTAGTGCAATTCCAATTGACCGTGTAGGATCCCCTTTAGGGTTCTGTCTAATGACAAACGTCCAAGACAACTTAGCCTATAGCAAGCTGGTGCAACCTCTTTGGTCTAAGCCGATCTATCGATCTAAGCCGCCTGTTGTTTATTAGTGCTAGCACAATTGTTTAACATATTACATTGTTTTTTCTTGGTTCACTAGTTAATGAACATGTGCGCTCACAGATTACAGAAGTTGTAATTTAGTAATTTTCTAGTTTATATTTAGAGATAGTTATTGTAAAGCATTTATTTGAGTAGTGTACAAATTTTAGTTAGTTTTAGTTGATTTCCTGTTTTCTTAATTTGTTTCTATATTATTACATGTGCATTCATAGGTATGTTTTTATTTTCTAATTTTGTTTTTGTATTTATTAAAGATTTATGTTTGTATGTAGTTTTTTATTGAACGAATCCACAGAATACTTAAAAACTGCAAAACTGTTACGAGACTCTTGTTCATTTGGGCAACACTACTAGTAGTATAGTTAGTCTCCCCACCACTTTTACCTCAGTCTCTCCTCCACTTCTCGTGATTGAACCTTTGATTTCCAGAAATCCGCCAGACATGTCCATCAGTACTTCATTCAGTTCCTTAAGCTATCAATCAGAATGTCAATAGTGCCTCAGAATCAATCCCGAATGACCGTGTAGGGTCCGCTTAGAAAGAGTACAACGCAGCGTAGAGTTACAATGTTAATAACGCATAACAATGGAAGAATATACAAAATGTTATCAAGTTGTTATGTTACTATAGTTGCTCATAAATATAATCGATCAATGTGATCCTGCTATCTAACGAGTAAATTTATCAACCGAAGTAAGTTCATCCAAGATACTGGTCGAAAAACGTAATTGTGTAAAAGAGATTAAAAAAAATATATAATAAACTAACCTTTAACAAAACATCTGTCAAGATATCTACTTGTGGTTCAAAATAATGAAAACGAAAGTTATATAATCGATTTTACACTAGCTTTGATCCTTTCAAATTTACATATCTTGTTTAATCGATATTTTCTCCGTTTACGATTTAGGAATGGTATGCTTTAGTTGCCAACATCATCAAAACTCATATGTTGAGTGTAGTTTGAAAATATTGAAAGTTTTTTTTTTTTGGACCGTTTTGAATAACCTCCCGGAATCAGTAACATGTGATGGTTCTTTACTAAATTTATAAATTTTATGGTATCTACAAGTGATGCGAAGCAGGTTAGGGAGGTAAATAAGTTTTTCATCAGCCGAGGAAGGGATATAGCGGGAGGTAGTTTATATTGTTCTTTGGCATCATCGAAGAATATCGCAATTTTTCGAGTCAAAAGTGTGAAAGCGGATGAGGAAAAGTGTACAATTACTGGTTCTTGTCAGTTTCCTGTTTGCAGATTTGGTAGGAAGTGTAGAGGAGGAGGAAGAGGAAGATTCGCCAGATAGGGATGAGGTAAGATCAATTATTTTACAATTAAATTATCGAGCAATAGATTAAGATCGATTCATAATAAAAGCAAAATATACTGCACAGTATCCTATAATTTGTATCTTTACAATTCCAACGAATACATAATTATCACTTATGTGTCATAAGATATCTAATAGCCACGAACCTATACTTTACTAGTTTATTAATTGTTTTGTTATTTACAACTGTATACATATATACAGCAAGTAAATCTGCTGAAAGAATAGAAAACGTGATAAGTACTTGTGAAGAAACTACCCATTAGTAACACTTGAAAGATTAGATTAATTTAGAAGGTCCCTTTGCCATCTTCTTTTTAGACGCTTCGGAGGGTTGTCAGGAATTGTATTGGATGAGAGGTTATGAATTAAAGGATTGGGATGACCAAAGAGTTTATTATTAAAAGACTAGTATCTTAGTCGGCCCAAGTCGTTAACAAGGAATGTTAAAATCAGTATCGATAATTTTTAACAATTGGATACGGGAAGAATTCGATGTTTTTGTAAAACCCAAAAGCTCAATTTCATATATCTAAATGGGCCTCATAATAATAGTGTATATGAGTATTTTGTAGAATGTTGGAAGTTTAGAGCGTTTGTCAGATAAGTGTTGTAGTAGACAGAATTTGTTAGCAATTTATTGTCATTCAAGTCTAATTTGAGGATTCCAAGAAAAACTTTTGTCAAGAAGGAGTCCTAGGTTACGAATCTGTTCGAAAGGGATCACTAACCATTCAATATCACTTATTCAGGCACAACTAACAGATGTGTCCAAAAGAAGGTGGCGTGATTGAAGTTGCGTCATCAAAAAAGTTTGAAGAGGTTATGAGATTTTCGGGGAACCCATATTTTTGTTGGGTTTTAATTTGGAGGACTTTTCATTCAAACAATAGAAAAAATATTTAACAGAACACAGCAAGTATAATTGTATATAAACAGCATTGTTTATAGTTCTACTTTCATTTGCACTCTTTATACGAAGAGGACAGCAATATATTTTCTAGGTAAGAGAGGGTTGCACCATCAATCTTGCGAGTAGTGTTGCCCAAATGCGAGACCAAGACGAGTCTTGTTCTTGCGCTAGAGTCTCGAAGTTATCTATTAGCTTATTGCTGTAGATATATTACTGTATTTTTTTTAGATAGGAGAAACCTAATTAAGCCTGAACGAAAAATTGGCAGAGTTCAATCCTAAATAGTAACTATATAATACTAATATCTATATAATAACTAAAATAGTCAAGTATTAGTAACTATTTTGCCTTAATATTTATTCAAAAATACGATTTTTTTTACCAGTCTTGGTCTTGGTCTTGCAACAGTTCGGCGGCCTTGGCCTTGCGCGTTGCAAGACCAAGACCGATTTTGGGCAACACTAATGGTAGATAATTTATTTTTTGTAAACTTCACTAAGGAAAATAATTTTAATAAATAATAGTGGTTAAATATACATATGTACCTTCAAATCTCTCAAGGCATATAGTTCAGAGACTGGAGTTATGTGGTTTACAAAAACAGGTGGAGTTACTTGCTTACCATCGATATAATAAGTAGGGGTTGCGTTATTTTAGTGTCCTTAATGAGTTGTTACAGTTAGCTGTAAGGTTTAGCAACATTTAAAATGCAATTTTTTCTTTTATTACTGTTGTCTTACACTTTGCGAGAGCAAGACCAAGACCGATTTTCGGCAACTCTATTAGCGAGGTGGTGGGGATGAGCAATTCAAATTATCAGGACTGAAAAAACCAAGATCTTACACGTGAAAACAGCATATTTCTTATCAACAATAAAAAATATCTAGTGTGTCCACTCACACGACTTTCCTACCTATTTCAGAAAAATTTTTATATCTTTACATATCTTCATGAGAAAATAAAAAAGAATTGAACTAGATTTATTTTCCTGAAAATTGATCAAAGAAAAGATTTGAGTACGATTTATTTGATAAACTAAAGCAATGTAAACCCGATTAAGATAATTCAGTGTAAAAATTTCAATACCCTCTAATATTGCTGATCAAAAACTTTTTGCCATAGCTTAGTATTGTCAAACAATAATTTCTGTTAAAAGTAGAAGAAATAGTGAAGCTTGTGTGATGCGGGCAACAGATTTTCTTACTTTCACTTAGTAATCTAAAAATGACTTCTTTTATAAGTAATATAAATATAAGTCATATAAGATAAATTCTCTGATTCAACCCTTTCTGAGATCAAGATATGAACCCGTAATGTTACATTGGAAATTGAATAGCTGTAACTTCGTTAATAATTGTCCAAAATGAACGATTTTTATATAGCTTTATAGGGAATTTCGTCACATTTCAAACGACATGACAAACAACGTGTTTTTCAGACAGACAGACCAATGGCTGAAACTGTGTTTTTCGGATTCAGGAGACTCTGAAACGTATAGATCCGTCGAAAACCGCATATCGGAAATTTGACCCGATTGCAATACTTTCCTTACCTAGTATAGGTAGGAAAGTAAAAATAGATTAAAAGATTACGAGTTCGAGTCACAGTACCGTAGGCACTTGAAGTCATTAATCCTCCGTCTTCTACCCTGACCCAGTAAAAAAAGACAGTATAATCTAAAATATGAGGAAGGGAAGAAAAAAAAAAATCGAATAATTACATTTTTATGTAGCGAAACTAGAAGATACAGGGATAGATAGTGTCAAGAAGCTTCTTCGTACTAGAAGATAGAGAGTCAATTTTGAAAAAAATATATATAAAATAAATAATCCTTGGAAGACTATTTTAACATTTTTACGTTTTATAAATCAAGGAAAAATTTAATTTCATATCTAGTTAAATTAATAAGGGGCTTATGTTACTACGGCTAATCGAATTTTGATTAAATTTTCAGAAAGTTTAGGGTTGATATGTAGATTGTCTTATATCATTTTTATGGAATCTATCCAATTATTTATCTTAGGAATGGACTAAAGTATTTTATTTTACCCACCAATATTTCAACAAAATATCTCATCCAATCACAGGCGGATCTACGGTGAGGAGGGGGTCTTTCGGGCTGAAGTCCCCGCTTAATGGTGAAATATATCCATTTATTACAATAAACAATTATCTTTAAAAAGTATTATTGTCCGTCAATTGCATTTAATAGGACTTCAAGAATCACTGAAACACCATTTCTTGTAGGTAGTTAGTTTCTTTCACAGTAATTATCGTCATATATATAGAAAAAAAAAAGCTTTCGGGCTGAAGCCCCCCCTCCTCCCTTCCAAAAAATTAATTTCTTGATCCGCTAGTGCATCCAATTGAATTAATGTATATATATCATTGTTCGGCCGTTAACCGGAGAGTTCAGACGGTTACACAACGCCGAATTGCGTGAACTGTATCCGGGTAATATAATTGAGGTAATTTCAATTCGAATCAAATGAGCTTGTAAAGTTGTTGGACTTAGTAACGAGAGAATTCCTAAAAGGTTAATATTTGCTGTGCCAAATGGTAAGCGTCCGAGGGGCAGACCGAAGCGAAAGTGGGAAGATTGCATTAAAGCCGATCTGAAGGGACTGGGTCTGGACGGCGAACGGTGGAGGGAGGTGTGTAATAAGCGATTGGTGATGTCGGCATCGAACCTTCGGGTTCGCTAAGCCTTTTTATTATTATTATCATTGTTCGGCATAGCTGAGATAATATCGGGATTAGTATACATGTGAATAGGTACAAATTCCATTCATTACTTTCACTTACTCATGCGCAATTTATTCCTTGAACAGGAATGAAGTTATGCCGAGTTCAGTTACACCGATCTGCGAAATTTCAATATCTTATTATTTTCTTGAACTTTAGAGTTTGATCATTGTTTCATATTTTATCATCATTGTTGACATCGAAATTAAATAAATGGGAAGGTTTCATAGAGACCTAGTATTGAAGATCTGTTTTTATTTTTACACATTTGTTATTTGCATCTGTTTTTCACATTTAATAATTAATAATTGTGGATTCAGGGGTTGACTGTAATGAAGAACTTAAGAGAAAGATGGTTGGGGTGATAAGTAAAAATAAATAATTATTTTTAATTTATAATTATAATTATACAAAATAGAATCTATTTTGTATATATTCATACATTTGCTCATTTATCATTTTTATATTATTTTAACTCTTAGAACCAGATAATAATAGATATGAGAAATTATAAACATTGAACAATAAAGAATTAAAATAAAAAAGTGAAAGGCATAGACTAAAAAAATGTAGGCAGAAAAAAACTTGAAGTAAAATGAAGTAAATAGAGTGAAAATTAAAGTAAAATAAAGTAGGTAGAAATAATAATAACAATAACATAGAACTAAGAAATAAACAATAATAACGGCAACAAAGTATGGACTAATGAAATAAACATAGCCAAAATAAGGTAACATAAGAAATAAAAAATGGTAATCTTAGAATAAAAAGAAAACAGATACAAGTTAGTTGACGTTTCGGATATTTACTCCCAATAATCTTATGGATGCAAGGCTAAAAAGGTATTTTTATTTTAAGGTAATTACAAATTTATTGTAACAACAAAATTCAAACATGTAATGTAACAAGCACAATATTATAACTCAAAAATTTTTTTAGCCTTGCATCCACAAGATTATTGCGATTGCAAGTCCGAAGATGGGAGTAAATATCCCGAAACTAACTTGTTAACATGTAACGTTGATAATAGAAATATACTCAATTGTTACCATTTGGAAGTTATTATTGCCAAATAACTAAAAATAAATAAACAACTGCCCAGAAAAAAGAAGAAAACAGATACATTTCCTCATTTATATTTTTTACATAATTTTAACTTTTTATTCTCTTATACGTAGTCAGTATATTTTGATAGATTTAACAATATCTCAATTTTCTATTTATATCTATTATTTCCTCATATAACTTCATATTCATTTTCTCTGTTTTATATTTTATTCTAAGATTACCATTTTTCATTTCTTATGTTAAATAATTTTGATTATGTTTATATCATTAGTCCATACTTTGTTGTCGTTATTATTATTTATTTCTTAGTTCTCTGTTACTGTTATTATTCTACCTACTTTATTTTACTTTAAGTTTATTCTACCTAATTTTTTTAGGCTACATCTTTCACCTTTTTAATTTTAATTCTTTATTATTCAATGTTTATAATTCCTCCAACCTATTGTTATCTGTTTTTTTATCAGCCCTGATGAAGGCATGATCTTCAGGCCGTAACGTCGGCAAATGTAAAAATAAATATAATTATTTTTTTTTACTATTTTTCAGTTTGACCAATCACCCAAACCATCCTCTTCAATTAATAATTTTAATATATTTTTATAAGATAAATGAATTTGTTTGAACTATTTAATTAATCATTTTAATTACAGCGATTAGTTGGCAGTCCGAAGGCGACCTTATGTGTTACAAATTGGAAACATTCTGTGTTTTTCCTTCAAATTATCGTTTACAGAATTATTGCTTAACAAATAGATTTTTGTGAAGCGGTACAACACTTTTGTAGCATGCTATCGCAAATGTAATATTCCATATGCACTCCAATAACTTTTAAACGGTTAAAATATTACCTATCGACATAGGCGCAGATTTTCGATTTTGAAAAAAAAAAAAATGGTAGGAGCGTTTATTATGTTTATTAATTTTTTTATTTGTAAAGTTGTAAGGATATGTTGATAAACATTATTATCCCTCCTTGAATATAGATGACACTTTAAATAAAAGTAACATTTATGTATCAATAAGATAGTTAATTACTTACAACTAGCCCATAGCCTGGCCACCTAGTCAACTATTCTTAATCGATTTTAGGTTTCACATTTTATTCATTCATTTAGCTTATTTATTATTGAGTTTAACCATTTTTTACCTCGAATCATTGGTGGATAATATATAATATATAACAATAATCTTACCCCCTCAACATTTTTTTTTATCGCGATAAAAAACTCCTTCCTCGCTCCCCCGAAGTCTGCACCTATCCCTATCGAATTAAATCCAAGATAAAATAGAAATTAATATGTTAATATTTTGATTTTAATGTATGCATCTTGTACTAAATTCTGGGAAAAAATTGCTTACTCTTATTTTCTTGTTTTTTTTTAAATATGGGTGATTTTTCTGCTTATATATTTTATGCAACGTTAAGAAATTATAAGCTGTGTATTGCAATCAATGACCTTTTCACCTTAATTAATGTTATGTATATAAATATATTGTAACATCCCTCTTATATTTTACAAATAATAATAATATAACCTCGGAAGATCACTTTAATACTATTGGGCTACTTCCTAAATAAATAAGAGGTTGTTTAATAATAAACAAAATTATAAGAGAATTAATATATTAATTTATGTCAGGTGTGGGTTACTGACAATCAGATCAACTCATACAAACTATTATTATTTACACTATTTATAATAAAATTAAACATTGATTGATTTTAAAATAAAGTCAAATTTGGATAGGCAAGCTAACCTTTTTCTATATTATATGTTTCTTCTTTTGTGACACTAAATTCATTTGTCTTCAAACACTTACTAAAGTTCTGCCAAACACAACTTCCAAGATGGTAATACTATTCTTCCACTCAACTCAAGCTCTCTGGGAAATTCTCTCTCTTGCAATTCCAAACATCTATTCTCCCTGCCAAATAAAATCTTCTAAGATGGTAAAACTATTACTGGGTTTTACCCACTGGAACCAAGATAGGATATCTTCTCTTAACAGCTCTTCACTGCAGTCACACAACAACTGTCTGCCAAAACAAAAACCTTTGTCCCTCTCCTCTTTGGGATTTTCCTTCTTGGGAAATTACAGAGTAGCCATTTTCTTTTCCCTGCACTAGTAGAACTAGATTAGCTTGCCTTTTAATTGTTTAACATTAATTTATTAAATCATTTTTACCCACTTCCAATAAGGTGTATATTACAAAATATATATACATCTTATTAATACATATATATATATATATATATATATATATATATAATATATATATATATATATATATATATATATATATATATATATATATATATATATATATATATATATATATATATATATAAACCTGTACCACTACAACCCATGAAGGGTCTGGGGTTCAGTACTATTTAGGGAAAGCACTGTTTCTAGGTCAACGGTTGTGCAAGGAGGTGATTTGACCGAGATCACGCTCAACCGCCAGGTTTTTCCCCTTAATCAATTATTTAATTAAGGGTACCCACTTTATAGAGGCTGGGTGTGCCCCAGGAGGGACTCCTAACCCAAGGTCGCTCCACGGCCAATGAAACAGATAAATAAATTATCTGCCATGAGCCGGGGTTCGAACTCGGGACCTTTGCATTGGAAGCTCAGTGCCCTACCACTGAGCTACCCCGCTCCCTATATATATATATATATATATATATATATATATATATATATATATATATATATATATATATTAATATATATATTATATATATATTAATATATTAATGAAAAAAGCTAATTTATAATTTATCATTATTTTATATGTTTATTTTGTTTTTATTTTATTTTTTATTTATATCGAAGGCACTAAAGCCAACAAATCTGTTTGTTGTTGTAATTTGTTTGCAAATTATACCTATTTGCATATTTATATTTTTATATTATATAAAATGGCCTCTAGTCATTATAAATGGAAATATTACGAATATATATATATATATATATATATATATATATATATATATATATATATATATATATATTTTTTTACCCACAAATCTAAATGAAAATTATTCCAAATAATGACAATTGACTTTTCCAGACAGCAGCGTTTCTCCCTTCCTTGTTGCTGGGGACTGCAACCGCTGATCTCTTCAACCCCTGTCCAAAGCACACCACAGGCCTGGCGGGACAAGCGTTTTGTGAACTCATCAACATCTTGATTGTGTCTCAGTGCCTCCTGGCGGCTCCTTGTTCCTATCCGATTGACAAAGCAGGTCGGCAAACCTTTCATATTATACTCCTTTCGTTTACAAGTAATTGAAACTGAATAGACTGTAAGGTGTCTGTTCCATCATAATCACTGTAGTTAGCCGTTTCAGAAAATATAAAAATTATGTAGAGATGATCAAATGAATACTATATTTTTAAAAATAGTATTTTTAATTGTTTCGATGCACCTTGCAGTTCTTCACCAGGGCTACAAAAGGTACAAAATAAAAAAGGTACATGGTGAAAATAAAATAAATGTATTATAAGTAGATATTCAATAAGAAACAGTTGTCTGATAAAGAAATAAGAAGATGACATCAGAGATATATTGGGTGACAGTGTAGTTAAAATATCAAGTGTTATATATAAGATACAAGCAAAAATAGAAAATAAGTATGAATAAAAATAGAAAACAAAGTGGAATATAGCGTGTAAGTTAAAAGTAAACATATTGTGATAAAAGATAAGAAATGAGTGTATAACAAACTGGTAAAGATTACATTTGATAACTGTAGATTAACAGATAAAGAAAATGAGTATTGATGAATAAAAAAACTGAAAAATGAATAAGTAATGATCTAGTAAAGCTAAAATAAGAATAAGATAACATAATAATAAGATATCAGTGGATAATAAGCTAGTGGAGGTTACATTTGATAAATCTATTTACCTACATTTATCAAGTGTAACCTCCCCTTTGTTTTCTATTTTTATTCATTCTTATTTTCTATTTTTGTTTGTATCTTATATGTATACGTATATAATACTTGATATTTTAACTACACTGTCACCCACTATATCTCTGATGTCATCTTGTTTATTTCTTTATCAGACAACTGTTTGTTATTTAATATATACTTATAATTCATTTATTTTATTTTCAACATGTACTTTTTATATTTTGTATCTTTTGCAGCCCTGATGAAGACCTGCAAGGTGGGTCAAAACGTCGGCGAAACAATTAAAACTACTATTTTTTAAAAATTTAGTATTTATTTGACCGCACCTCTCTCCCCCCTTACCGACTTCTTCTGAAAATATAAAAATGTTTGTTTTGCTTTCAGGAGGTTGTTCATTGCCTCCAACTTACGATTTCATCGTGGTTGGAGGAGGGACTGCAGGATCTGTCATTGCTGCTCGACTTTCAGAAATAGCTAAGTGGAATGTACTGCTACTGGAAGCTGGAGGAGACCCTCCACTGACATCGGATATTCCAGGTTTCCACTGGAACCTCCTGAGATCCGATATCGACTGGGAATTCAAAACGGAAAGGGAGAGAGGACTCTTCAATGGGTACATGGGGAGGGTGAACCGTTGGCCACGGGGCAAAGTGCTCGGGGGAAGTAGCAGCCTCAGTTCCATGCTCTATGTTCGCGGTATGGCCAAGGAGTTCGACAACCTGGCCAGCATCGGTGTGTCTGGCTGGTCCTACCCAGAAGTCCTCAAGTATTTCAAGAGGACGGAGGACATGCGGGACCTGAGCATCCTCAACAGCCCTGCGGCATCGGTACTCCACTCCCGCGGTGGACCCATGACCCTCAGCAGGTTCGGAGAGCGAGAATTGATAATGGACATAATCGAGAGGGCAGGTGCAGAGATGGGGCATCCGTCAAACTTTGATATCAATGGTGCCAACCTGGCTGGTTTCGCAACCCGAAATCAAGGAACCATTAGAAACGGCGAGAGGCTAAATACTGCCAAAGCTTTTTTAAACCCAATAAAGAAAAGAAAAAATTTATTTGTTATTAAGCATGCATTCGTCACTAAGCTACTGATATGCCACAAAACTAAAAGGGCCTTCGGGGTGGAATATTATTATCGGAACGAAAAGACTCTGAGACACGCTCATGCCTCCAAAGAGATAATAGTGTCAGCGGGAACGATTGGATCACCAAAAATTTTGATATTGTCTGGAGTTGGACCCAGAAACCACCTCCAAGAATTGAATGTAATAGTGGAAAAGGATTCGGCCGTGGGACTTAACTTGCAAGATCATCTTATGTTTCCAGGTGTCCCGATAACTCTTGAAACTGGACTCGAGGCAAGAGCGCCGCTAGATGTGTTAGATCACGCATACGAATACCTTACTCGAAGAACAGGTCCATTATCCAGGATAGGAGCTACAGAAGTCTTGGGCTACCTCAACCTTTTCGGCGACGATACTCCTGATATACTCTTACAGTTCTTATTTTTTGTAGCAAATGAAACAGAGCATTTATTAGATTTCATGAAGGGTATCGGGGTGGAAGAAGACATCTATCTACAATATCGTGAGTTGAACAAAAGATCTGATTTATTGATTCCTTTGCCATACCTTTTGCATCCGAAAAGCAGAGGTTATATTACACTGAAATCTTCAGATCCCGATGATTCACCAGTCATTCGCACAGGATATCTTAATAATTTATTCGATTTGGACGCTATGCTTCTGGCCATAAGGTCAATACAGTCGATGGCACAAACAAAGCCTATGAAGATTTTCAATTCAACTATAGAATTTTTATCATTTCCTGGTTGTTGTGGTTTAGAAGTAGACAGTGATCCTTATTGGGCATGCGCCATCAGCCACCTCGCTGGCACAGGGCACAATCAGGTGGGCACCTGCAGGATGGGGAGCTGCAACGACCCTTACTCGGTAGTGGACGAGGCGCTCAAGGTGATCGGCGTCAATGCACTACGAGTCGCCGACTCCAGCATCATCCCCAAGGCACAGTCAGCCCTACCTCTGGCGACTACCATCATGATAGGGGAGAAGGTATCGGATATGATAAAGACAGATTGGAGGGACACATATGAACCGCACAAGTGTCCTACAAAACAGCCAATAAAAGACCAAAGGTCTAAGCAAAGGATACATAAGAATAAGACTAGAAAACCTAAAGGATAGGAAAATTGAACTGGTAGGAACCTGTCTTGGTTATTGAAATGATGGTACAACACACAATGAGCACATAATTCTTCGAAACACACCAAAATAAAATTATTTAAATGAATCTATGCTAACGAAAAGTAAAAAGTATTCTTACATTAAACAGGTCATACAGAGAACTACTGCTCGGAATCGACAGATTTTTACTGAGTTTGAAAGCAATTATGTTTAATTGTTAATTTAAGTTTTTTCTTATACCTGTTATGAATTAACTTAAAAGACAAAATGCAAATTAAAATAGGAACATTGCTGCCATTGTACCGTGGAAGAACATTAGAAGGCAATGAGGAGTGCATCCTGCCCGAGGAATTAGATCTAAACTGATTCCAATACTAAGACTAGAGTAGCAAAAATCCTATCGAAACTGAATAAGAATTCAGAAATGTTAAGAAGAAAATCACACCTGAGACCAAAACCTTTAATGAGACTTATTGTTCCAAAACTTTCACAGTTGTATTAAATTAATACTACTACCTTCTGCAACAGCATATCCAATAAATTATGAGTGAAAATTAAAATCATAATATGAATGTTCTATTTTTCTTATTGGTTTATTTTTTTTTAGAAAGTTCAAGTTTTCAGGAAATAATTTTGAAAATTTCAAACTTGCTTTAAATTTATTATTTCTTCATTGCAACGCTATTATGTTGACATTTCGCAGAATATTTTTGTTGGGATAAGAATTTTTTATTTATTTTTGTATTTTTATTTCCGTAAACAGGAACTATTGACTAGAAAATAAAAATAAAAATTACAACTTATATTTTATAATATATAAAAATAAACATGAAAGAACTCTAATGTTCATATAATGACAGGTTATGATGGGGATATATTCTCCGAAATGCAAGCATAAAAGTTTTATAATAAAGCATTACTAATTTTATTTTTTATTAGTTGTGTTACCTTATATTTTCTGCTTTTTTGTAGTTGAAGATTTATTTATTTATTTTTTTTTTCATATCTCGTTATTTTCTTGATATGTTTTCTTTGGTTGTTATATTGTCTTTCCTCAGCACTGCTGAAGGCTTAAACATTTAGGATGAAACTTTGGTATAAAATAAAATACAAGTTTTATATATTTATCAAGCAACCTCCAGCAAACTTACCAACCATGTTGTGTACAGCCAAATATTTCTTTACCATTATTATAATTTTATTTTATTTTTATTATGAACGGACTTTTCACAAACATAACATCCACTATACTACCATTACTTTAAATCTAATTACACACTACCATTCAATAATGTTTATTACTTGAAATCAAAACATTAATGTATCATCCATTGAAATACATTTAATTTATTTTATTTTAGGGTATTTATGGTAAACTTAGAAATGAATTAATGAAATTTAATAAAAAAGAAAACAACATTCTATAAAGACTTTGAATATTTTATGTTTTAATTACTATTTCATTAGGTTACATCGATATGTCAATTCTGACTGATCTCTGGAAGTGTTTATTTAGCATGGATATCAGAGGAAGTATGAGGAAAATATGAATTGTATAGCTAATTTCATCATAAATAAAATGAATTAAATGTATTTCAATGGATGATATATTCATGTTTTAGTTTCAGGCAACAAGAAAAGATAGATGGTCAGTATATAATTAAATTTATGAATAAACTGAATCCAGAATATCAATGATAAAATGATATAAGAAGAGAGAACGTTATACTTTTTAAATTTCTAACACACTAACGGATCAACGGGAGAGGGGGATTTCGAGCTGAAGTCTCCCAAAATGGTGAAATATAACCATGTCTTATGAAAAAAGACATTTAATAATTACCTCTAAAAGTATTAATATTTGTGTAATTACATTTAATAATACTTAAAGAATCACTTAAACTCTATTTAATATAGGTAGTTAGTTCCTTTATTTTTCTTCCTAAGTAATTATCATTGAATAAAAAAAATAAAAAAATCTTTCGGGCTGAAACCCTCCCAAAACTAAATCCTGAATCTGCTAGTGGCATAACACACTCACCTCTGTATGACCTTTTAAACATCCCAAGTTAATTTTTATAGTTACTTAAATGATGTTGAATTCTGTATTTAAATTTTTCATTCAGATCTATTATGTCCGCTAATGGTTGGGATATACACTCCAATATTATGATTTTAAATATTATAATAATCTCCCATATGAGACCACAAATAGAACTTTAAATCAGACTTCAGATGTTTAAATCAGAGCTTTAAACAAATAGAAATCAGGTCGAAACGTCGGCATATATAAAAATAAATATTATCATTTATTTTTGCCTTCCTTTTTGACTGACCACCCCAACTATTCTTCTCTTCATTATCCACGACAGTCAACCAATTACCAATTATAAATAGAACTTTAAATGTACATAATTGTCTATATTACAGAAGTAAGAGGCTATATCAGCTATTGTAAATGTGTAGAGTGATTACAGTATTGATTTTATTAAATTAAAGATACCTCGAATAATATTGTTACAATTTTGATAAATTGGGTTTTTGATTTAATATCATTTTAAGTACAACCAGCTGTTACTCGTAAATATTTCTTTTCCACCATTAAAATTCAATTTAATTTTCAATAAGCATCTTAAGCTTTATGATACGGATTACAACATTACATATTTTTATTAAGGCAGTTTTTGGCCAGATATAGTATGCTTATTATTCTTTTGAGACCTTGTCCCACAATAACGTTTGTTTTCTATCTATCTGTAAAAATTCAATCAGGTTCTCAGGTAAACATAAAACATATTTTAGGGTAATATAAAATCTTTCTTCAGTTTTGTAGAGTGTTTCATTAGATTTCAGATAATCTGGTGCGTGCTTCACACAACTTTCACTTACCGCTCTCCTTTGAATATAAATTATTTTCTGGTAATATTGGACTATTAAAAAGTTTTTAAAGGGCATTTTTAATGGATCTAAAGTTTAAAACTTATAGCTAATCTGTAATAACTCATTAAGATCATTAAAATAAAACAATCGCTATTTAGGAAAACCGTATATAATGTATGCAATATTATCAGAGCCTGTATTTTGTTAAGCACATGTTACATATTGAAGCCTTTCGGCTAAGCTCGGGTTTCTTTGGTTCTCTATTACGGTTCACTATATCCTTTAATTCTCCTTTAGTTAATTATAAAATTCTTTCATATTTTATATTTGTACATTTTTTTTATAGAATGTTACAACTTGAAATGGTAAATTATTTCAAATAAAAAAAATTAAAGGTACTTTAGTGGAAGAAATATTGAAAATTATGCATTTAAGCCCTGTTATTGAACACGATTGTGAATAAGACCTACATTATATTAAAAACAGCTTAATTTTACACTAATATAATGAATTTAATTAAAATCATTACAGCTGTTTTTGAGAAAATTGTAAAAATGCATAAAATTGGTTATATAAAGGTAGCACTCATGGTTAACCGATTTTAACGAAAAGTTGCTGTACACTCCAACCATATACATACCTTAAATATGTTGTATCAGTTTTGTACGACTTTTGGTTTTTGAGCTAGGCTGTTCATTAAAACACACAGACCATTTTGTTCGACTTAGTTATTTGGAATCAGGAGAGCTCAAAATGTGTATATCCGTTGAAAACTCGGATTCAACAATTTTCACGATCACAATACTTACTCTTACTATATATATTACATATATAGTATAGATAGGTAAGTGAAAGTGAAAAGTACCTATAGTTTCCCAGAAACCATTGTTTTAGAGTTATTTTGAAGACAATTTGTATTTTTAGCATTTTAATTCCCAAACTCTTCAATCACATATCACAAGCCTTGAAGAATGGTGTAAAAATTGGAGAATAAAAATAAATTCCAACAAATCCCATCAAATCACCTTTACCCTCCGTCGTAAACCTATGACTTCTTGTCCTACAGTATCCTTCAATAATACTCCACTTATTTCTGTTGAGCAAATCCGCTACTTAGGACTCCACTTGGATAAACGTCTTACTTGGAATCCTCATACTAGACTGAAACGACAAGAAACTGCTCGACGTTTCCGACTGCTCCAACACTTACTAGACAAACGCTCCAAACTTTCAATTAATTACAAAAGACTTATCTACATAACTATAATAAGACCTTTATGTACATACGGAGTTGAGCTTTGGGGCTCCACCAAACCATCGAATTCCTATCGTATCCAATCCTTACAATCCAAAATCCTCCATAAAATCCTTAATGCTCCATACTTTGTCACAAATAAAACCATTCATCAAGACCTTAATGTACCATATGTCGCTGATTTAGCTCGAGCCAGATATCTATCCTTTCATGATAAACTTCAGTCCCATCCAAATCCGCTTGTTTCCACTCTTGCTTCTTCCTTGATTTCTGATGATCCTCCTAGGCGTCTGAAAAGGAGATGGTCTCGTGATCTTCTTACTTAAAATTATTTAGAGAGTGCTACCACTGGGTAATATCTCTTCAAGCCTGTACATGCCATTATTTATATTTGCGCATATTTACTAGTTGTATTTGTATACAGTTGTAAATTCCATTAAATAAAAAAAAGAAAGCATTTTAATATTCCAAATCCAGCCTCATTGCTCATTTACCCTATAAGGGAAAATAACAAATAAAATTTCAGTTCCATAGGCATTGTCATTTTTGAGATGCAGTGATCACAATAAGCCAGTGAGTGAAATGTATCTTTCTTTTATATTGAGAAATTCATATATAAACGAACAAATGTTGCTTAATCACTTTAATTTGAAAATAATAAATAAATAAAATAAAAGAAAATAAATAAAAATAATAATAATAAAAAAAAAACCTACACAATTTACTTATTGAAAAAATGAATCTTTAGCTGTTATGTATATTTGTCAGTTCTTTTTCCTTTTTTCTCATCAAATTTAATATTTGAAAATACTTTTCCCTTAATTTTTGCAAGTATTTGTCTTATATTTTTCTATTTTTTTTGTAA